CATTTAATGTCAAATGAATGATATTGAATTCTATAGAATAATAATTATTGACAATAAATTTAAATATATTTATTGTATTTTATTTTTATGTTTTAGAGCATGTCAAAATGTGATTAATCTTAATATAAGTCCTTCATATTTACTTTTATCAGAATTCATCGATAATCAATATCTTATTATAATTTTTAAACAAATAAAAATGCTCAATTCAACAACAGAAGATTGTTATATTCCTGGAAATTTTACATCAAAAATTGTTGAACGTTTTCCATCACTTACTGATATTAAACTTCGAGTGTATTCATTTAATGAACTTGTATCTGCTGTTGATATATTACTTTATCATTTAAAAAATTTGTCTTATCTTAAAATTTATTGTAGTTTAATTCCAGTATTCGATGATTATTATTGTCCTAGTTATATTATTGAAAAACGTCGTCAAGCATTTAATTTAAATATTATCGATGAATATAAGGTTGTGGTTAATAGAAGTGCAGGATATGTAGAAATTAGATTATCATGATTTTATATGTATATAGATTTATTTTTATGAAAATAAAGTTGAAAATGAAAACGTATTGTTTTAAGTCATTTTTATTTGAACTCAGAAAGATTATTCTGATTGTTGTATGACTTCGAATATTAGATTAATATTCAGGAAAACTTGATAGATTGTCTGAAATGTTTTCAAAATAAAAACGTTTGACAAATAATTGTACCATGCGAATAATTTTCTTGAATCATTTTTGTATTGAATAAGAGTTGCAAAAAAAGCTGACTTGTTTTTTTAATTTTTTTTCTTTATTCAGTTTTTGGTATAATTTTGTACATAAAATAACTGGACTTAGTATTCCATTAGATTGTCCATACGCATATTTTGCCAAAAAATCGATTAATTCAGACCAAAAACGTAACTTCTTATCACTACTACCATCCATACAAAACAAAACTTGAAAACAACGAAGATGAGCAAGAGAAGATATTTCTTGTTTATCAATTAAACGACGTTCAACAATTAAATGATGAATATAAGGTTGAATTATTGACTGTATGCAGAACCAATAACTAAAAACAAAATAATTACAAAACGTCTATTTCATAAATACATCTTACGAATTTCTTCTGTAAGAATCAATTTTGTAATTCGTTCAGGTAATTTTCTATCAATTAAAAAAACAAGTTGTTATTTTACGAACTCGATGAAAACGAGTTTTCAATTCAATTAATTCATCTGATTTTGTAATCTTCACATGTTCTATATGTTCAGCTCGTTTAATATTTAATCCAACTGATGTCATATATCCATTTTTAACAATAGATAATCGTCGTTGATCATCTTTATTTGATGGGCATCGTAGTGAATATATGTAGGGATCCATTTAGAATTTTCATTAAAATAATAAGTGACATTCATTCACCATCGAACGAAATCTTAAATTAATAATTTTTTTTTAACATTTACTCTTTATATTGTCCCTATATACTGAGGTTGACAATGAAAAATACAAATAAAAATTCAAGTGTAGTACCCATAATAGTTAAGTTTCATCGGCAATGTTCAAGAACTAAGAAAAATAAATATTTCTAAATAGTTAAGAAGCTCTTATCATAACTATGATAATTTCTCAATGAATAGAGAATTAAACGTCAGTTCCACCCTTCATAATAGCCAAAGTGATGTATTTTCTGAAATATTTTTCATAATCATGCATTCAATTAGAGATATGAAAGTTTACTCTACTTTACCCTGCAGGAATAGAAAAAGTTTTTCTGAGTCGATTTCATATTGATTGAATATTATTAATCAATTTTTTTATTAAAAGTAAAAACAAAAAGACATCATCAAAATAAGTTTATCATCTTTTAGATGATTTTAAACAAACAATTACATTCTTCTTGCTTTAATTGATGTGTTCAATATCATCTAAGAGAAGTTCAAGTTCAAGATTTTCAACAAGTAATTCAATATCATTCTCATGTTTTTCCATATATTGTGCATTATATAAACCATCTGTTGCAGTCAAAAGACATTGAATAAGAGTCATAAATCGTTGAACAGATTCATAAAATCCATATTTATATAGGAGATATTTCCATATGACTTCTGAATAAGTATTTTGAATATGAAAGATCTCAAGTGTATTTATTGGATTTATCATTGCTATTGAAGAAAATATTGTAATATTATTGGAGAAAGTAAATAATGATAATGCAAGTTTAACGATTGCAATATCGGAATCCATATATTTTAATATATGTTCAATCATATCTACGGAAGATTGTCCATAAAGATCTCTACAAGTATTTACAAAATTTTTACACTTGTAAACTTGAGATCGATTCCAACTAAATATTGTACCTAGACAATTAATATTTTCAGCAGCAGTACGAAGAAAAGCATTACGATTATCGGATGATAATCTACGAAGATCACCATTAGAATTGAGATAGGCTCCTGATGTTTCATAAGTTGTCATGAAAAATTGTTTTGAAAGTCTTGAATTGATAGATATCATAGATTTTTCAAGATTATTTTCGTTCATCAATTGTTGACCAATTAAAAGAAGTTTACTTTCATCATAATTATAAAATAAATTAGATAAAAGTGTCCATTGATTAGTATGTAATGTTGAATTATCTGATTGTAAAAGGTTCAATGTTGGTAGCTGAAATTCAATAAAAAAAAAAAGAGGATTCTTCTCTTGATATATATGTATCTATCAATAGTCATTCATTTTTTAAGTTTTGATAAATGCTATGATTACAAAGAGTTGACTTTCTAGTCACAAAAACAAAAAGCATCATCGAAATCATAGATACCCATCGCGACTGAGAATCTGCGACTACTGCGATACGACGCACTATTTAAAAAACTTGCCGCTGCCGCGATGGTATTCAAAAGAACGTTTCGATTATCAAGGTTGTGACTGGTTTGAACTAGAACTGCTGCTGACAATCGACCAGATTTGCTAAGTCTTACAGTATCACATATATGAGCTACGAGATTCATGTATTTTTGGAATTTCTTCTTATAAAAGCTGCCGCCAACGCGACGGCATTATAAAACTCTCTCCCGCGTTGCGATGGTTTTTGAAGAAATCTACCACTCATGCCACAGTGGCAGCGTCGCCATGAACATCTCTAATCGAAATACTAAACTTGAGTCTGTTCTCAACTTCAATGATGGATTTGTAAAAGAAAATATGTAGGCCTCACATGACACAGAACAATCAAAAGATATCTATTTATTTTTTTGTTTTAGTATACGTTGATATAGATATGAAAGTATTATAAAGGTTTCTATTTCGTCGATTTGTATTACAATTTAAAGAAAATGTGCAAGCAAAACAAGAGTGAACTCTAGAATTGATAATATAAGCCTTTCCCCATCCACATTTTCCAGTAAAATATTGGTTTTAGGCTAGATAATTTCATATCGCATGAAACTTTCATGATATCTTGAGGTTATAGTAGATCTATAGAAATTACTATTTCTATATAATAAAAACCATGCTTGATTAAAAAATAACAAGTTCTGTCATGTTCTATAAATAAATATACTCTTCCAAAGAAAAAAAAGAACTAATTAACTACAACAGGATGTCGTCATGAATTCAGGATGTGCAACTAAACAAAAATATAAACAGAGAAAAGCAAAAAAAGATTTTTTAACATTTCTTAGTCGACTATTACCATTTGGCAACAGTGAACCAATATTTCGTGAATAGTTAACTTGTCGTGATGATATATTATTTTTCTTTTTTTTTGACAATTCGATAATTACTTTAGCACACATTCATAAGAAAAGAAAAACCTTTTCCTAGAAGATGGCTCGATTCACCTGTAATGCTCGAAATGGGAGCATCTTAATCATAAGAATATTTCTCTTGTGCATCTGAACATTCAATACTAGACACGATTGATGGTTAATTTTATTTCTTAGGCCTATTGCATGTTGCATCACTAACAAGGATTATTCAATAAATTCAGACAACAGAAAGTATGGATGTTGTCATATGGTAACATCCAGGCATTATGGACTAAAGCTTTGCAAAGTTCTTGTTTTTTTCGTTTTTGACTATCAAATCGCAACATTTTCTGGACTCTCACTTATTCATAAAGTCAATATAAGAAACAAAAGACAAATATATATATATATATAGGTATGCTACTCTTATAGTCTTTGTCAAGTTGTACAGAAGCTGGTGTTTAGTTTTCATTCAACGCATACAATACTGCAACAGAGCAGGTTCAAAAGTCGATTTTATTAAAAACTACCTCGAGAAATCTGTTTGTTTGATTCTTTGTGAACATTCATTAGAAATTTCGATTTAATCATTAGATAGAATATGAAAAATTGTCTATGTAAAATAATTTTCAGCACAAGATCTCTAGAACTCATTGTTTAAGAGTATTTTCAAATTTGAGGAAAATGGCACTTTATTCTAAAATTTAATTGCCTATAAAGTTTATACATTGAGTTAAAAACCTGAACACATTATAATCAACATGAATCTTATACTATGCTTCCTCAAACGCGATGTGAGATGTATCCTATGCATTTACACCGATATTTACACCCTCTGCTCATTTAAATTAAATGTATTTAAAAAAACAAAAAATTTGCAATAGATTAGATGTTTATGAAATGTGTATTTTCATTTCTATTGAACTATTATTTAATAAAAGAGAAGTGGTATGTTTGAATAAGCAGACTTTTTTTGAAAGTTTTTTTGTTGTCTTGGAAATTCAGAAAGGGGGAAAGAGATGAAACTGGACAAAAAAAGAAAGGAAAAGTATGACAGCACGGTGTGTCGTCTTCTGTATTGTCATTTTCTTATTTCTTCTAATTTTTGTGTCTTTCTCTTTTATTTTATCATTTTTCGCACTCATTATTTTAATGTACTTGTTTTTATCTTATTGATGCTAGAGAGAAATATACAGAGCATCGAGAAAGTCACGACACAGGCACTAAAAATTGAACATCTCCCCATCGCACTCTAATCAAATGAGCTGACTTTTTTTGTCTGAAAACAGAAGATAGTTGCAGGTTTTTATTCATTTCTAAACAGCTTATTCATTCATATGAAAACAGTACCAATAAATCCGTACACTGCGTATCGCTAAATAACTGGTATATATACCATATATAATGCATCAAAGCTAGTTCGAAAGAATTTGTTCTTCATTGTCTAAACAATCACGAAATTGTTGCACCACAGAACGGCACGTGTCGCTAATGAGTTTTTCACAGGCTTCTTCGATTCTGTCATGGAGCTCACAAATTGTAGCAGATAATTTCCTGAAGAACAATGTTGTTTTTCTTTTAATTTGGAAAACACTTCTATGTTTTTCTTAGTATTAACAGAAATGAAAAAGATGAGGAATACAACAAAGAATAAGCTGTTTATATATGAATAAAAACCCTACAACTGTTCTCTGTTTTCAGAAAGAAAAAAAGATCAGTTCATTTGGTTAGAGTGCTGTAGAGATATACAATTTTTAATGTTTGTTTCGTGATTTTCTGAAAACCCTGTTTATCTTTGCATTATATCTATTTGCATCTCTCGATAATTTGTATTATCGAGAGAATATTTATTATCTTTATTGACATTGGTTATCTAGCATTAAGCTTCCAGTACATCTAGGCATCCCAAGACGGTCAAAAAATGCGATTTTTACCTGGATGTACTATATTAATGGTTTCTAACAAAAAATAACATATTTCTTTCTGATTATATGTCAATGACAAAACTTTCTTTAAAAAAAAAACAATCTATAAACTCAATCAAAGAAACTTACACGTTGTAGTTGTTTTTGTTCTTGTATCTTCTGTAAAATATTCGAAGATTCTATCATAGATTTCGACATTTTATTTTGTTTTCGTTTTGATATAATTTTTTTCGTTAAAGAAGATCGAAATAAATCAGATTGCATTCCATTTTGAAAACATTTAGTAAGTCGACAAGACGAACATATACGACGATTATTAATATTAACATCACATTGACCAGAATAAAGACATTTAAAGTGTTTCTAAATAAAGAATTAAAAACAAAAAAAAAACAACATATTATAACAATAAAAACTAACTTGTCCTGTTATAGCATTTCGTTTAAAAAACATTTTACATGGTGAACATGAAATGACACCATAATTTGAATGTAAAGCAGAAGCGCCACAAATTTTGCATTGACGAGAAAATTCTTCTAATTTTTGTATGATATTCGATGTATGAGAAGATAATATTGCATTATTAACAATTATATTTTTATCAATTGTTTCTTCCATTATTTAATTGTATAATTAAATATTCTATCTCAATTAAAAACTAATGAGATAATAAATTACATTTTGTTTTTGTTATAGCAGAATTTAGATCTTTGTCTAAAATGATAAAAGTAATGTCTACGATAATTTCTTAAAAAGTAGGAAAGAAGATCTTGGTTGTTCTTTTTTCTTTTTTGGTGTAGAATGTGTGCTCATTTCTTGATCTTTACGTTATTCTGCATTTAGTTGACACACTTATATCCTTTCTCTAATATTTTTCTTCATAGAAAGGAAGAGAAATCTTTCTTTCACTCTTTCTGTTTTTATTCTCTTTTCATACTATATTTGTATGACAGAAATTGACGATTGACGTCTCATCTGTCTCGAAGTTTCTTCTTAAATCTGTTATGCTGTGAATCTTTTATAGCAAGAAGAAAAGCATTTCTTTTTAGACGTATTAATACCAGATATATAAAATGTGAATTTTTAATTGTTAACAATAATAAACTATTCAAGTACTATACAAATATCGAAGGAATCTTTTCATAAATGTGAAATTTGTCAAGTTCCAGATATATATATGTATATAAATTTTGGTATTATTTCATGTTTTTCATTCAAAATTTTTCTCGAACGAAACATAGAAAACATCAAAATGTAATATATTGCTTTGTATAATTCTATTCATTTTATATGTACCGTAAATGATGGTTGTTAAGTAAATTTTAACAATCATTAATGTTCTTCCTGTTGACTTGGCAAATGCTTTGTAAGTGGATTGCAGAATGAGCTTGTTTGATATTTTTGAATAAGTAAAAATACACAAAAGTGATGAATGAATCCATATTGACGATTTAAAATACTTTTTTTTTTGTGGAAAGAGATCAATTACAAAAGATGAAAATGTTGAACTATTCTATTTGTTTGAAAGGAATTAATTCGATGTTCTCAAAGTGAATACATTTTTGTCCAATCTATATCTAAGCTAATAGATATCCAAATTTTCTATTATTAAATTATTTTTTTTCAGAAAATTCGAATCTGCATTCTTTGATGTGAAAGAAGTACAGAATGAAAATATACATTAGATGTTTCAATTACTCTACAGTTGAAATACTCGAAATTGATATCAATAACTATTCATAAACTTTGAAATCAAATCAGCTTTCGAATAGGAAACTACAGAATACATTGAACAATATCTTTTGAAAAAAGAAAATTCTATCCATTATAGTAGAAATCACTGAGATATGGTCACATCAAGGAGCCATAGTTATCCGTTGAGCAATGAAATCGATCCTCTCTCAAAGTAGAGTTTCTTATTTTCATATTAGCCAATTCAGATATCAGCAGTCGATTGTCACTCGAATTAAACAGTTAGATTTCATTAAGTTTACATACGACTGATTCAAAACTCCATATGATCTATTTCATACGACGTTATACTATGCAATATTTATATGAAAAGTTTTTTCTGCCAACTTCCACTCTTACTTTCATCTATCGAATAACATATAACAATATGACAAAGTGTTGTTCTTTCCATTTTTCCTCTCAGTGATATTGGTCACTTGTATATACAATATGAGAACACCTATGACAAAATTTCCTACATATTGTGCTTTGAAAGCAACGATCCATTACAAACTATAAATTATTCAAGAGTGTAGATCATCAGTTCACTCGTACATGCTGCAAAAAAGGAAAAAAGAGTTCAAATTTGATATAATAATCTTTCTTATAAGTCGAAAACCATCATACATTTTAAATATATGCCTTCTTCATTATATTCACTGATTTAATTTTGAACATACTGCTAGAACAAGGAAAAAGAAATTATTATAATCTTTCATTTATCAATGTTATGATTAATCTACTCGAAGAGATTTCTTGTCTATTTATTGTCACTCATTATTATGAAGCATGTTTTTAAATAAATATTGAAGTAGAGAACAAGACATTTACATCCTTAGTTAGTCACTAATAACATTAGAAAACAACTTTGTCGTATTCTTTTTCTGAGATAATTATTAAATTCTATAACGAAAGAATTACTTCTCAAATTCTCAAAGTTCATTTTACTGTCAATGAGATAGGTGTAATATGTAATAACTATTAAACTGCAAGACATATTATCAAACGACTTTGTTGACAATAGAATTAATTCTATCATGTTTCATATTTAATATTATAGGATTGTGTTAATGAGTTTTTTCATAAGATATTATTAGTATTTTAAATGATCTTGAATGTTTTGTAATCAGATTTAAAAATTTTTTGTAGTTATGAATTTTTAAATAGAATATTTCGATTTTGTTAAGTAAAAATCTACTATTTGAAATGTGTAGAACATGAAATTAAATAATTTTCAAATACAAACAGATCTCGAATTAAAATTATTTGATATTCAGAAGAAATATTATGAAAAATAAATATGTTTCAAAAAATCGAACCGGAACTGAAGATTAGACTTAAATATCCAATAGTTTTGTACGAATGATCTTATAACTCATACTAATCAATACATAATTCAGTCAAAATGACCAAATAAAAAAAGTTATATACGTCAACTGAATATTTCAGAATACTTTTAGATTTGATGCAATTTAAGTCTAAAACTGGAGGTGTCAGCTTAATTGACATGATTTAATTTTTTTTTCCGTAAGCATTAGTATTAACAATAACGTTTTGATTCCCCCATAGCAGTCTCAGAAAAGTCACTAATGAAACAACTATTGAAACAAAGTATTATCCCCTTCAGCAAGTGAATAATATAAGCAGATCGACCAAGTGAACTTCTTTCTATACACAATAATTTAATAACTCCAGTTGTCATTGGGCGGAGGGAGGAATAGTGACATGAAAATTTTTTGTTTTATCTTCTGTCAGTAGCTTGTTGATTTTGCAAAAATACAATATATTTTTTTAATTTAACAATATGAATAAAAAAAAGAAAAACCGATACACAAAAAAAGATTTTCTTTTTTTTCTCAACAAGACATTTTCTCAAGAGTAATTAAAACATTAAGCAAAGGATATAATTATTGATTCATTCTTCTTCAATTTCGAATATAATAAGATTTTAAAGAATGAGGATTGTGAATGTATTTTGTTTAGATGTAAATTTCTAAATCTATTTTTCATGTCATTACTCCCCCTCCTTCAATGGTAACCACATTCACCATTTTATGTCGTGCAATCTCTTTTTCAGATAATTCATATGAAAATTTTTAAACGCACTTTATTCAATAGCGGCAACTTTTGTCAATATTTATCGCACAACACATTATCAAGATAAATATTTCTCGTGCGTAAAAAAAAAACAATTTAAAAAGTAAAAGGTCGTTTTGTCTTTAATAATCTCATAATCGGCTCTTTTATAAGGCATATTTCTTAGAAATAGAGCAAGGACACAAATTTTGTTTTTAACCAATCGGTAGCTTAGAAAAATTTCTACATATAGTGTGTAAAGAATTTTCTGATATCATACGTTCTACAATGTTTCTAAAAAATGACAATTCCAGATGTCAATGGCGATAAAGAGATAATTCAATATTAATGCAAAAGCATTAAATGAAATTTTCAATTGTAATATAGAAATATATCAATTCGTGTTAATTAATTTCAATGCTCAAACAACACTCCTGTACGAATTAGACTATGGTTGAAACTAAGAAAATTTATCCACATACATCTCAAATTCTTAGACATTCGTCTATTAAAATTCGACATACTTTTTGTTAGCAGCTTAACCAAATACGAATATACAAACGAACAAAAAAGTCCTCTTATAATCGGATTGGAAGTTTAAAACCAATTTCAAAGGATACAAGTCTTTTTTCAGGAAGTCTAGATGATGTTATGACAAAAAATTTTGTTTCGAGACTCAATAGGATTTCTAGAGATATGGTTATTAACAAAAAGTTTTTTGAATTTCGATCTTACTAAAAATCTTACCATAGATAGAGTTTATCCTAAAATTTTCAGATTTTTTTCTCGTATGCTTAGAGAGGTATCCACTAATTACTTTTTAATTAATTAATAGTCAATTGAAATAACCAACATTTTTATATATATCTATACTAAAGGAACTTATTCAGAAAAATAATTCTTGTAAAATAATGAAAAGTGGGTATGTCCCATTTTGCCTGAAATGGTCTATCTATATCCATGCGTTTTTTATTTAATTTTCTTCATGAAAAGATTATTTGTAATCACAAAATTTAAAAATCTCTCAACATGTGGAAAACAAATGTTATGCCTATTTTCAACGAAATAGGTTTCTACAATTGTAATCTTGTTTATAAAATCTCGTTCTTGTTCTCAGTTATTTTTATCTAAATCAAGAACATTAGTTACTTCTATATTCTTTTCATCTTGATTGATCAGATTGACTTTGATCTTCTTAATAAATCATGTATATCATTGTCAAAATATTTCCTTTGAACGTAACACAACTACCCAAAAAAAAAAAACCTAATCCATAGAAAAAATTTTATCATGTCTCATCGTATGATTTTTCACGGAATCTTACTATCCTGCACGATTTCTCTTATGATCTTACATTTAGACTTGATGTAATTTTTTCAAAGACTACAATTCTTCATATGACTCGTAAAAGATACATACAAATTCAATCACTGTATCTTCAAAGGTCTTTTCATGTACTTCTTTGACATAAGGTATTTCGTGCATTTAACGTCAGAACAAACATGAAATCAAACAAATATCTAATCATCATAAGACAGAGGTTCTATGAACGAGAATCCTGTTATATAAAAAAAAACCAGAATCAACTGCTAGAGATTTGCAATGAAATAATTATTGATTTAAATAGAAATTTTATTGTAATACTCAATGATATCAATCGTTTTATATATTTTTAGGTTTTACCTTTTCTTTACGTCGGGTGAGCTACAGATGTTGTTGTCACTCGAACAATGTCTATATTCGTTAGACTTTTATAAATTGATGATCTATTATTATCGTTGTGCTCTTTCATTGATGTTCTTTTTTTCCTACCTTGTTTCCAATAGCAAATCAAAAAAAAACAACACACACACAGTATTTGTTACCGATTGCTCATATAATGGTATTAAATCAAGTGTTTCAAAGGAATCAACACGTGTTTGATGACAACATTACCTATTTGCACTTTTTTTTTGTCGTTACATTTTGATATTATTGAATTGATTTTCTTCAAGTAAAATGAGTTCAGGTCCAAAAGTTAGTGATATTGAAGAGGAAAATATATTATCAACAAAAATAAAATTAACAAAAAATGAATTTAATGCAACTGTACGTAATAAACTTGAATATAATCGTCTTAAAGTTATTAAAAGACATATTGGATATCAAAATGATATGAGTGCATGTAAAATGCGAACATCAATACATGATTTAAGAAAATGGTTAGATGATAATCAAAGAGTTGTTTGTAATATTGATGAATTTTTTACGAATAGAAAAGTAAGAATTTTTTAGATTTTATAATATCAGAGAAAAAAAAAATATATATATATACATATTTGTCTTTATTAAGATTCAATCAGCTACTCCTCATTATCGTTCTCGTTTACCCGGTGTTCGTTCAAGTTTTACTCATCCTAATGATGATCGATATCAAAATCGAGCAAAATCTGCATCAACAATATCTCGACCATATACTGCACCACTTCAAACAATATTTGAACAACAACGACCTCCTGATCAAGTAGATACAGAAAGTGATGATGAAATTATACCAATATCTATTTCTCGATTGACTTCAGGCAAACGTTCAGTAGCTCGATCGTCTTCTGCTGTTTCAAATTCAGTTATGTCTCAACATCCTGTTGAAACAAATATTAATAATGTTGATATAACATCCTCGACTGTTTCATCAGTTAGTCATCGAATAACATGGCCTGTTAAATTAAAAGTATTTGCATTACAAGATGAAGATGTAGCTCGTCAACAATATTTAGCTTGGCGTGCCGAACAACGTAAATCTAAAGTAAAACATGTACCAAAAACATTTTTTGATAATGAACTTGAAAAAAAATATCAAGAATCAATTCGACGACGACAAGATATTGAAGCATATGTTACACCAGAATTAGTTCAAGAACATAAATTAAATGATCCAATATTTGCTAAACGTTACCGACAATTAAAATTAGCTTTACGAGCTGGTAAAATTCCATCATATGATCCAAATGATTGTGAAATCAATATAACAATGACTAAATCAAAAATAGAACGTGCAAGATCAGCACTTATAACAGCTAAACAATCGAAAATTAAAACTTATTATCAAAATCAACAAAATGTTAATGATACACAATTATCTAAACGAATTGAAACTTTTTTAAAAGGAATTTCAGAATTTAAAGAAGAACAAGAAAACAAATGTTCAATTTAATAAACAAATAAATCCAATATAATAATAAAAAAAAAAAAAGAAGTTTATATTTCTTGAAACCATGTTATTATTTCTGCAAAAAGATCTGCTGGTAGTTTATTCACATTATGTATAGAAAGTAAATCAAGACTTGAGATTTCCGATAATAGACTAGATATTTGACCACGAGGTATAATACGATAATAAACAGGAGTTAAACCACTATCATCTTGATTTGGTGATAATGGTGGTAAATATAAACATGAAGAAAAACTAAATTGTTTTAATTTATTAAAATAACCTTTACAAAATAAAAACAAATATCTTATTATTTTAATATTTAGAAATTTCAAAATATTTAACAAACCTTGAATTATTTGATAAATTACTTTAATAAATCGTTCATCAAAATTTTCTGCTAAAACAATTATATCATATTCTTTGCGTGATGTCTAAAAACACAAAATAAAAGAACAAATTTGTCATTTTCTATTATTGCTTAAGAGAAAAAGAAAATAACCACTAGAAGATATAATCTTTCTTTCTTTTTTTCTTCTTCTTCTTCTTCTTTTCACATATTGTACAATATATTGAGACAGCAGGAAAAAAAAAGAAGATACAAGCAACAAGCATGAAGACGAGACATAATAATGTGTTGTTGAATATAAATATATATGCATATATATAGATTGGGTTGTAAAGACAAGAGGTAAAAAATGATGTGACGCGACAATCAAGTACAGAATAACAATAATTATTCGAACTACTAAGTTTATATTTTAAAAAATATGACTGAAAATGATAATAAGATGTCATCATTGATCACACAAATTCAAGAACAATTAGTATGTATTATTATTCGATTATAAAAAATATTTTAAGAAAATCAATAAATATATGAACTTTATTTGATATATTACAAAAATAATAATCAAACATATATCTGTCTATTTCATCAGTTACATTGATGATAGACAGGCGTATTTGAACATGTCGTTTTCTTTTTTTTTTTTATATCAAAAACAAAAATCTTATTTAGTACATTTGAAAATATATACATGTAATCATAACATATTTCATAGGACTTGCAAAGCGAAAATATCTTGAGATATTTCTTCCTAGAAGCAATTCTCAAATGACAAATAACTGCTATCTGAGATCTCAAATGAAATATCAAGTAACAAAGAAATATACAGAACAACAAATTTTGTGTTTTTTAAGTGCATAAGATATATTTGCAATTTTCTCGACAAATTCTTATTTAATAAGGACGAAACTATTATAATAAATAATCGAACATCCATCTGTTATGTAAACAACAATAATAATGATCAGAAGAGATAATCGAATAAAATTATGTATGCAATTTATTTTGACTAGGAAAACATTCTATATTCAAAGACTGAATGTTCTAATTTTTATAATAAAATCTTATTTATTCTTTTTAGAAATATATTCGTCAAGATAATATTGAATTAACTAAACAATTAACAAATGTTTATAATGATCTTTGTCATATTCGACAATCTTTAATATGTACTCAATCAAATTCAAATTTAAATACTACAAGTCTTATTGAAACTTCAACATCAAATCGTTATCATTCAAAACAACGTTCGGATAGTGAACCAAATATATTAAGTGATCGTCAACGTATATTAACAATAATCAATGACTTACAATAGGTATAAGAACTGTAATACCATTGAATGATATTGTTAAATTAAATGCCATATGAATATCTTGTATTGTACGAAAAAAATTTTTTTTTCCATGTTTACTAATATTTATATATTCACGATAATATCGTTCAGATGCAAAACGTATTGATTCAAATTGACCTTTAATAAATAAAAATTTAGATATAAAAAAAAAAAAAAACTAGATAAAATATTTCATCGAACCATAATAATGATCTGAATGAAGAGTTGCATGAATATGTGGATGTACTTGTGAAGCACCACCATGTGGTAAACTATCCCAAAGAAGAGTAGGAAAACGATGTGATGGTGATTGTTTATGAACAGTTTGAAACCTACATTTAATAAAAATATTCATCTCAAAAATAAATCAGGTTTTCTTTTCTATGCAAGGAAACTATTAGTATCCCCTTTGCGAACAACATTTCTCGATTCCCATAAAAAAATCTATCGCTGCCTGATATTAGCTTCTCGAGGCATCATGTGTCTCACAATATAACATGGTATAAGCTAAAAATAAATTGTGGATTGGAGATTCATCTGACAAACGATACAACTAAGGTTTGCTATCTAAACCACTCCCGCCTCCGTCAAAAATGTATTTTCGTCCCAGAGAAACAGAACAAAGCGATTTTCGGGAATGCCATTTTTTTAATATCGTTCCCGTTCCTGCGGAATCTTAGAAACTACTTCAACTGACACCCGCCGTTTGAGCTCGTATTGAATTGACAAGCAGATCTCAGTGTTTTTATGATACTTCCTGAAAAACTGAATAACAGAGTTTCGATTCAAGATTTTGCCTATAGATACATACATTGATTCATTGAATATTTTGAGTTCCAGCCGAAAAGAATGTTCTTTAATTAAGATATTCAATTTTCAAGTGAACTCGATTTTTTGTGATAAAGGACTATTTAGGAAAGTTCAACGTCTTGACAAAAGTTCGTTCTGTTCGACTGAAACTTTGAGGATATTCTGAGAGTCATTCCACTTACCTATAGACGACACTTTACATTGAAACTTTATAATTTGATTTCTCCGAAACCATCTACAAATGAGTTAAACATCTACTAAACCAATCATAACTCATGTGGGAACTCTCTCCAGATGTCAAACTGCTTTTCGATCGAGACAATGTACATTTGATGAGTACTAGTAAGTAATAGAAAAGTCTAGAATGCTTTGGTTTTCTGAATCCTCGTTCCTAAGATATCGAAGTTTTACTGAGTTTTTCAACAAAAAGCTATGATCCCCTTGGATCACATGGAAAATCGACTACAAAGTTTTCTAGTATTCCCTATCCTGAAATATTAAATATTCAAAATTCTCTCACTTGTAAAAGCAAATTGTGTTCATATTTACATCTACAGAAACAACTAATCTCATTGAGAAAAGTCTGAAATCGATTTTTCATGTGATCTGAGGAAGATCACAGCTTTTTGTTGAAAATTCCAGTAAAATTTCGATATCTCAAGAATAAAAGACTCGACAAACCAAATTATTCTAGATTTTTCTTTTAGTCTCAAATGAACGTCGTCTCGATCAAGAATCGATTTGACACTGAAAGAGATTCTCTTATCCCGTAAGAACAAACTCTTTTAGAGTTTTACTAGTCTTCCGAGATCGTCTTGTAGAGTCGATATGAGTTTACAAACAGCAAATATCAATTGAAATAGTTTCCTCACAAGATTAGACTTGATAAATCATATTTTAAATTCTTTATTGTATTTTTAGTGATGATAGATTTTAGGAAGGATTTCTAAAAAGAAAAGATGAATATTGTTTTTTTTTTACCATTTCCAAGCTAATGTAAAAATATCTTTTAATTCTTCAAATGTTAATTTTGTAATATCATGTTGTTTTGGCATAAACATTGAATGCCATTGATCAAATTTAAATGCATTAGCTGCTGAATATGCATATCGATTTTCCATTCGACCAAGACTATCGATTGCTGTCATACTTTAAATTTTTTTTATAAATATGCAAAAAGAAAAACAATAATAACAACAATATGAAATCAATTAAAAAATTGAAAGAAATAATTTACTTTTGATAATTACATAAATCACAATTTTGAGATGTTTTTTCTATTGTTTCATTTAAACTAAGAAAGAAAAAAAAAAGAAAAATTTTCATAGGAAAAAAAAAGAAAACTAAACTTACTATTGTTCAATAGGTACTTCAGGTGGTTGAATAGGACGACGACCACGAAGTGGATTATAAACTGTATGTTCAAATGTGTATTTGTTCATAACAAAATAAAGTTCCTAGAATTAACAATAGTATTAGTATTTTTAAGAAAATTTTCCTTTCGTTTCAAATTATATTTTGTTTAAGAAATAAAAATCGAAAAGTAAAAACTTAAAAAAGATTATTAACATATTTAATAATCGCTTTATGATGATGAAACATTGAATTAAGGATTTATTGTTGAAAATTGTGTTCATATCTCTACAAAAATTAAGGTTCTCATCTGCTGTTGACATGCATAATTTTGAATGATTAGTAAGGTAAAATTAAAATTTTCTTGTTTTATTTTCAATCTAGGTGAATGTAGCATCTTGCATAGATATAATTCGTCATTTCCTTTATTGTCGTTCTAATGTATCATTTGAATATACGATAGAAAAATCTTTTAGACTCTCTAATTATTCTACCATTGTTTCATAATAAAAGTAAAGATTCAATATACGAAAGTGTATTATGTGAAATGAATTTGAATGTATTAAACAATTTCAACAATTCTATTGCTCATAAGATTAAAAATTAAAACAATGATGTCTATTGAAAATAATCAAAAACAAATTTTTATTTTTAATATCATGTAGCAACAAGTACAATCGTTCGTTATGTCATATATCATATAATTTAAAAAAATCTTTCAACTATTTTGTTATTATATTTCATGATTCATGATGTCCCATAGGCTTATCGTCCGTTGGAGCCAATCACTGTACGGATTAGCTTCTTCCATATCCGCCGACCTTGCGCCAGGTGGAACAGGTCTTGTCCACACCAGTCTTTGATATCGTCCAGCAATTCTCTACATGGACGTCCTCTTCGGGGTTTTCCATCTATCTTTCCGAATATTGTATGTTTTATCAACCTGTTATCGTCCATTCTATAGATGTGACCGAATAGTCTTAGTTTCCTTTTCTTGATTATATCCACTATAGTTTCTTCTTTCGATATTGTCTTTCTGATAACTTCGTTGCTTATCATGTCTTTTCAACTGATTCTTAATATCCTTCGATAGCATTTCATTTCGAATGTCAGTAGTTTTCTTTTGTCGATTTCCTTTAGGGTCCATGTTTCTGAGGCATATAATAGTATACTGAAGATACACATTGTTAGAATCTTGAGTTTATTCTGTATCGTTAATTTCTTTGCGTTCCATATGTGTTTCAGGGATGCCCATGTTCCGGTTGCTTTACCTATTCTCCTTCAGATTTCTTCTGAGCAGTTGTTGTCCCATGTTATTAGGCTTCCTAGATATTCGAATTTATCCACATTTTCTATGTTGTTTCCCTCTATCTGTATTGCTTGCTCGATACTTGTTTCACCGAACATCCTTGTTTTTCTTCTGGCGTTATTAAGTGTAAACAGTTAAATTTTAGTATGTGTACGACTGTTTGTGTTATTATTTATTGAAAATATCGCTAAAAAAGATCGATAGATGCACTCTATATCTAGTTGTCATGAAAAAGAAATGAGCCGAGAATAGATTAATATATTGACGCTGATTATGGAATTGATGACAGAAATATATAGTAGCTATCAATGAAGTATGATATGACCTTCATGCAAGTCAACCTATGGTCGATTGGTATTATGTTAGACCTAATGAATTACAAAGAAAAAAACTAATTTAGATCAAAATGGGTGTTTATGATAAAACTCTATTAAATTTTGTCAAACAGAGTTCAATACTATATCAAACATGGTATTTATTAATTTTTTTTTTTTATGATATACGATTAGGAATTATTCATCAGATCGTACCGAGAAAGAAGAGAGGATTACTTATAATAATATCCAAGTTAGGACACATGATGAATGTTTCTTTAGTACTCTATCATCCATTTCAACATATAATGTGCTTCAGTGTTTTTTCAATAACTTTTGATACGAATATTAAGGAGACCTTCGGTTTTCACTATTTAACACAGAAGAAGACCCGTAGTCATCGAAATTTGATTGGACAGCAATGTTCCTTTTAATTGTGACAATTAAGAATGCTAATCAATATAAAATATTCTTCTCTTTGAATGTATGCAAGCCCAACATTTCTAGTTTGTTCCGTTCGAGAATTGATCTGTGATCACCCGAAAAAGCAGCTACGCAGAGACAATTTACCATGTTGAGTCGAATGGTAATATTTATTTATAGGTTCAAACTAACTTGGCTCTGTTATCTCAATATTTCTGAAATTCTACAATCGTGCTTTATGTAACGACAGAGTCGACATTTAGGAAATATTAAGATAACAATAAGAAGGACTCCATTGAAAACGCATTGAAGAATAGAGTATAGCCTTATAAATTTATTTCCTATGCTCATGAATCACATATTAGATCATTGATTTCAATAAATTTAGAAAAATAAAAGAATAAATAGCTTGATATTTTCTTTCAAAATAAATAAAAAGTAATTTTAAAATAGAAAAATAAATTGAAAAAAAAAACATTTTTATGTATATATTCAAACCTGTTCAAGTGCTTTAGCATATAATGTTTTATCATAATTAAATATTTTTCTAATTTTTTGTGCAAATGTTTCTGGATATTCTACTTTAGCAATATTTGTTTTCATATTATAAATCGAATTAATTAAACTTATCACATCTCTATATAAATTAGAAATTTGTATTACGTATTTAAAAAAGAAAAATAAATAAATAAAATACAAACTATTCAACAATTTACTTACTTACAAACATTATATGCAGTATAATTTTTTTTATAATATAATTTTGTATCTTGAGTAGGTAATGATATTTGATTTATCCAACAATGTTTACGCCATAAAGTCTATAGATAAAAATATTTTCAAAAAAAAAAAAAGAAAAAAAAATTATTCATACTAAATCAAATGTTGGATCAGTTAGAAATGGTGGCCATTGAGAATATTCAATAAAATTATATTCATTTTTTATATTAGCAAGATCAATTTGTTGTTTATTCTTCTCCCATGTACTTTTTATAAATAATTTAGGTAATAATGTTGTAATAAATATTCCTAAGAATAGACCAACTATCAGATATTTTATTTTCGATTCAAATAATTTAATTATCATGATTTATCATTCTGAAATATAAAAATTTAATTAATTAGCCAAAAAAAAAAAGAACAAAATTATGATTTTATTGATCGGAGAAAACATCGATTGCACCTAATGGAATTAATAAATTTTATTAAAAATTAAAAAAAAAAAAAAACATTTCTGTTCTAAAAAATATTTTTATGATATTGTTCGGGTAGTTGATCGAGAAGACCTAAACAAACATATTTGTTTTTTTTTTGTTTTAGTATTGTCAAAAGGAAAATATTTACCTCGTTTTGATAATTCATTTTTGTTGAATAATCGATTGAAATATTTCTAAGAACAAAAAAAGAAAAAAATCAATCATCAAATGAAGTAGAAAAACATAATTATGATTTTGGTAGCATATTGTACTTTCAAATCTTTTTAAAGAAAACTATGTTGTGAGAAAATAAAGATGCTACCAAGCTGATACATTAATTTAGTATATATGGAGAACGTGTTCTCTTTTAATGAGTAATTTTAACTCTAACATTACTATTCTTTTTTAAGTACTATATTAACGACATATGTTTTCATAAATTGATTTTTTTTTTACCCTTTTATATTAATGTCCTAATAAAATGTGTTGTTTTCATATTCGATCTGATGAAAATATTACAAGTAATATAAAAAATGTGTTTCACAGAACACTCATCATAAATAAATTGGAAACAATTATAATATTTAGTTGAAGTTTTTTTTTTTGTCTCTGAAAATTTGACAAATCGAACATCGTTCGATTTTCACTACTAGCCTAACTGGATACCTCGAAATCACGTGTTTTCCTTTCTTGTTATATACTGAAGACATGGTATTGTACCGAAGACGTGTAATGATATAAAAAAAATAAATGAATTTCTTTTTTAGATTCAATAATATATATGAATTTGTAAGATAACTCAGATTGATAGTATTAGTGTTAAACATATGTATATCTACCTGTCCATTATCACAAATAGTTGTAACAATTGTTGAACCTTTAGGCATTGATTTACTTATTTCAACAGCTGCAGCTACATTTAAACCTGATGAAGCACCAATAAAAAATCCTTCTTCACATAAAAGTTTAAAAACCTATTAAAAAAAAAAAAATTTTGAAAATAGAAAATATATTGTATTTTATTTTTTCATACCATATTAACTGAATCTTGATCTTTGATAAATAATGATTCATCAATAGGTGCATCTTTTAAATTTTGTGTTAGACGACCTTGTCCAATACCTAAAAGTATAGAATAAAAATAAAATCTTATATAAATCAAATGAACAAACCTTCAGTTATTGATGAACCATCAGTTCGTTCGAGTTTACCCGATTTGATATAATGATATAGAACACTACCCTATACATAAACAATATCAATAAATAAATAAATAAAAGATTAACAATATCAAAATCTATTAACATACAGGTGGATCAGCAAGTACAGTTCTAATTTTACTATTTTTTTCTTTCAAATACATACAAGTGCCAGCTAAAGTTCCACCAGTACCTGTACTCATTACAAAAGCATTTACTTTACCATCTAGAAATAAAATCAACATTTTGTTTTTCATCATCATCATCATAAATATGATTATCTTACTTGTCTGTGTCCAAACTTCAGGTCCTGTTGTAGAATAATGACCATCTCGATTAGCACGATTATCAAATTGATTTGTCCATACTGAATTTTCATGTTGTTCAGCATAACGTTTAGCCTATAAAAAATAAAGTATTCTTTCAAATAAAAGATATTTTCTATAAAATAAAATAATACATGATGATTATAATTATTTGGATCAGTAATTGGAACAACAGGAACTGTTGTTACTTCAGCACCTAATACACGTAATATATCAATTTTTTCCTTTTTTAAAAAAAAAATCAACAATTAAATTTAATAAAAAATTTATTCATCATTTACTTTTGATTGATTATCAGGCATAAAAATAACACATTTAAAACCCAATGCATTACAAATATGAGCTAATCCAATACCTGTATTACCAGCTGTACCTTCAACAATAGTAGCACCAGATTTAATTAAATCTATTATTAGATTTATATTATATTTCTTTTTTTAAATAATTATAAATTCTAAAGAATATCACTTTTATCAAGAGCATCTTTAATTAAAAATAAAGCAGCACGATCTTTAATTGAACCACCTGGATTAAGATATTCAGCTTTAACAAGAATATTACAACCTTGAAATAATAGAAAAATAGTTTTATTTATTTATATTTGAAAATATTTACCAGTTTCTTGACTCAATTTTGGTAAACGTATTAAAGGTGTACTAATAAATTAAATAATTAATAAAAAATTTAAAAAAAACAGTCAATTTTACTTTCCAATACTTCCACGAAATCCTTCCAAAATTCGAGCATAAGCCGAAACCTTGAATTAAAATAGATTAACAAATTTTTATGATAAAAATTTTTAAATTTATACATCAGTTGATAAACTACGTTGGCCATAATATCTCATTGTTTTTGACAACATGATTGTACTTTGAAATCAAGGTTTGATTATGTCAATAATCTAGGTACACGCTCTTAATGATTGATCGTATAGTATATTGATAAATAATAGATGATATATATTTCGAATTGGTAGATATGGTTCTCGAACAATCTTTCGTTCTTTTATAAATATCCATATTAAGGAGACATCTATTAAACAAAAAGAAAAAGAGAGAATAATGTTTTTAAAAAACTTCGACTTTGTTTGTTTTTTATTTTTTTTTTATTTAATTAATCCTTTATGTGAAATAGAAGGAAAAAAAAATTGATCTTTTCTAAATAATACACTTATAAGAAGAAAAAAAAAAGTTTTTTTCTTTTTTATAAATATAATAGAACGAAAGAAAAATAAAAGTAATAGAGAGTTCTGTGCCATGCAACGTGATGGATGTCAATAGTGATATGTATGGAACAGAGAAGCATACCTTCCTTGAAAGCTCTTATCAAGTAACAGAAAATCAATCAATTCCTACTTATGCCGATATTCAAACTTATCCATGTTCAAATTGTGGTCGATGTTTCAATGCTGAATCTCTAGTAAATTAAACTAAAACTAATCAATTATTGTTGTTATTATTTATTTATTTTCTAAATTCTTAGCGTAAACATCAACCAGTCTGTAAAAAATCATCACAAAAACAACCTCGAAAAGTATTCGATATGGGTAAACAGCGTGCTAGAGATTCCGATGTACCTTATGCAGCAACGAAAGACACTACACAGGTTTTATTTTATAAAAACAAAGCATTGAAATATATGTATTTTGTTTTTCTAATATCATTGAAATCTTAGTTTTATAAAGATGGTAAAAAACCTAAACATGATAATCAAAAGAAAAAAACAAGTAATTGGCGAGAAGATCATAATGAACTTGTTCGTACAATTCGTGAAGCACGACAAGTAACACGAACTATAGAAACCGGTGCTCCCGTATCTAAACAAACATCATCTCAAGTTCTAACTGATTATATTCAATGTGAATTTTGTCAACGTCATTTTAATCAATATTCAGCAGAAAGACATATTCCATTGTAAGAAATTCTTTTGCTTTTTTTTTTTTTTTCTTTAAAAAAAAATATATCTATTCATAATGTTCAGTTGTGAAACACAATTTAAACGAAAACAAATGCAATATACAGTAACAACGAATAATATACGTATACCTGTTGGAAGTATTGGACGACAAGGACGTGTAAATCAACAACAACAACAACAACAACAACAACAAAGTAATTCAGCACCATCCACATTAGTATCACGACGTCCTCAAAAGTAATTTATATATATATATATGTTATTCATATTCATTATTTTATATTTTATAAATATATTTACAGAACGAACGGTGAAAAATATTATCGAAGACCTCCATTAAATCCTAATATATTTAAACGACCAACTTTTAATCAAGTAATTATTTTTAATAAAACAAAACAAAACAAAAGAAAAAATAAAGTCTTTATTTTAATTAAATTAGTCAATGAGAAATAAAACAAATGGTACACCACCTAAATATGGTAGTCTTCGAATGACAAAAACACGAAGTGCAGCTGGAAATTATTTACCAGGTATGATGCGTACAGGTCGAACAACTGAAAATGATGGTTTAAATATTATGGCAGCTGCTGGACGAGAACAACAAAAAAATGATGGTTCACCACGATTACAACAACGTACAATAGGAGTGAAAACACGATCACCTAGTCCAGCACGTCGAATACCACAAGTGAATGGTAGTATTCATCATCAACAACAACAAAAAATAAGAGCATTGGCTGCATCAACAGCAGCAAAACATTGTCATGAATGTGGTGAAGCTTTTCCTGTTGAATGGGCTAAGTTTTGTTGTGAGTGTGGAGAGAAACGTTTCGGTTTCGAATAATTTTCATATTTTATTTCAAGTATTGTATATAAATACTACTAGGTGCACATTTGTTTTTTTTATAACCAAAGATTAAAGAAAATGAACAAAAAAAAAAGCCAAATCTGGTAAATATATTATTCTTTTATTACAATGAATGATTGTTATTTCAAAAATGAATGATACAATCTGTATGAAAATATTTTCTATTCATAATTACTTATCATTTATCAATACTCTTAATCGGTTGTAACTTATAAATAATGATACAGATTCATATTCGTAATGGTCAATCTTCAGTTGATAGTTACTAGCTGAGATACTAAACAATGGAAGTGTTGGTCAGATAAAATACGATATGAAATAAATATACTTGTGTATATATGATGAATGCATCTTTTGCATAAATTTCTTTTTGTAGTAATTGCTTATTGAAGTTTCTTGATTTTGATTATTATATACAGGATGACTTAAAAGTCACGTTACCGCAACAAAATTGAATATGTCCATTATGACTCAAGCAAATGAGCTGATATTTTTATCAATGATAGAGACATGTTCAAGCTTTATATCCATAAAGACATGCCTAGAAAGAGACTCTTTATTAAGTATCACCAGTGATGATCTCAACAAAAAAAATTTACTTTTTCACAGATAGGAAAAAAATAATACATTATAACGAAAGAACAGCTTATCAAGAAAAATAGAGTAAACATTCAAATTGTTTGCTTTCTATGTTTATACACATTTGACAACGACAGATTGCTTGGCATAATTCAATATTATCATTGAGTGATGTAAATTCTTGTTCAATTAATGACCTAAGATGATTTATATCTCAAGGATTTTGAGCATAGACACGATCTTTTATAATTCTCCATAGTGAGAAATTATATGGAGTTAAATCTAGAGATCGTGGTGGTCGTTCAAGAGTTTCTTGACGACCAATCAAATGTAAGAATGTATCATCTAAATAATCTCGTACAATTTGATCATAGTGGGGTAGTACGCCGTCTTGCTGCCAGATCATTGTTATAGTAGAGCACAAGGAGAAAAATACGACGAGAAAATACAATGCGTATTATTCACAAGTTTCTTCAATCGATTACACTTTTTCTTGATAAACTGTCCTTTCGTTATAGTGTATTGTTTTTTCCTATCTGTAAAAAAGTAAACTTTTTTTTGTTAAAATCATCATTGGTGATACTTAACAAAGGGTTCCTTTCTTAGTAGATATTGAATTTCAACAGGCTGTCGTTTATCAACCCATGGATGATTACTTTTAACCCTTTCCGGCCGGCTATTTGAAAAATACCGTACCCCTGTAGGGGAAAATGTTTCCATATGGAAACATCCGGCCGGAAAGGGTTAATATTTAAAACTTTATGAAATATATCACAATCATACTATATATAGATGTAAAGCATCTTAAATACTTCTTGTTTGATACGCACTATGAACAAAGTGATGAAACGGAAATTAGAATAGCAATCAAACTTATGATGAAAGAAAAACTATTCTCATATTAAAATTGACAATTTATTTTTGTTTTAGAAAAAACCTGAACAATTACGCAAAACTTGTCAAGGTAGTCCATGCGAGAACAAAATATTCCAGGGACCAAAAAAAAAAATGACATACTGAGTGATGAAATAGGCGTTAAAATTAATGTATTTAAATTATATTGATGAAAAAAAAAAGCATTTCTCATCAAAGTAATTGCATAGCTTTGATTTAAAAATCAAACTGATTGCATTTACTTGATTGAAATGTCTATTTTAGTCAATGAAATTGAAGTATATTAATTTATATATGCCTGGCATCCTCCAACATGTCACTTTTTTTTGTATTTTTGACGTAAAAATTAAGAAAGTTTTTTTTTTTTATTTTTCAAGTTCCTTGAATGAAATTCACGAGGTCTGATTAATATAAGAATCGCAATCGACAGTAAAATGGATCAAATAGTTTTGCAATGAATTCTTAACATTGAGTGCTTGAGTTGAAATCGTTGAGCTTTGATTCTGATCACTACCGAAATTAACTCAATGATTGCTAGGGAACTCTACTAAGTGATTGTTGATTATTGAGGTCGGTCGGCAGGGTATTATGAAGGAGCCGAAAAGCTTCGAATAATAGAAATTGATGTAACTTCTATAAAAAGAACAGCATTAGTTTAATTACAAAGAGTTTTTGTATCAGGGAATCAAAACTTGAAAGTTAGTCGAAGGATAGATAAATGAATATGTATATACAGTTAGATAGCAAGAATCTACTATTCATTCAAAAACTCAATGGACTTAGGTGTCTCGCAAATAACTCGAGCAAAGAAATAGTTGACACTCTGTGATTTCCAATATTTGAAAGAGAATAGAAAACTTTACTAAACCATGTAAAAATCAAACAACCAAGTAGTGATTCATTCTCAGCAATCATTTTGGAAACATTGCCCTTGGAATTTTTCCCGTTCTATGTTAACTTTTAAGATACTCATTAGATAGAGAAAATCAACACTTCTCGATCTAGACAAAGCTCACCTCTTCAGATGGTTCCATTGTCATGTTATAAGATTTTCTTCTCAAATCTTCGAAATCGACCAACTGATCACTGGTCAGTCTGCAAGAGGCTGATATCAAAGGTTTCGACTATGTTGAAATGAATGATGATGTTTGTTTTATTTTTTATTATCGATTTGATTACTTCCAATTGCAAACATCATCATTCGTTTCAACATGGTCAAAATCCTTGATATCAACTTATTTGAGATTGATTTCGAGTGTTTCAGAAGAAAACTTATAACATGGCAACGAAATCATTTGGAGAGGTCGACCTTGATTTTTTTCTATCTAATGAGTGTCTTAAAAGTCAACATATGATGAAAAATTTCTAAGGGCATCGTTTCTAAAATGGTCGCTGAGAACGGACTACTACTTTGTTGTTTGATTTTTACATGATTTGATACAATTTTCTGTTTTCTTTCAAGTTACTAAAAATTGACGAGTGTCAGTTATTTCTTTGTCTGAGTTATTCGCAATACAATGGAGTTCATTGACTTTTTGAATAGATATTAGTCTATTTGTAACATTAATCTTTTAAGTCTTACAAGGAAATATATTTGAGTGTATTCATGCGGGAAGATTTTATAACCATTCTATCCTATGAGTATCTCGAATATGAATATCTTAGGTTCTCTCGTTTAGATATGGAAAAAATAGAAGACCAAACTTTTTCAATTTTAGACCTTATTCTACTAATAGATGTATCATAAAGTTTATTTTTTTTTTTGTAATTATTTCATTTTCAGAAAAGAGCTGTAGAAAATCAACAAGATTTATTATGAGCGCTAGTTCTTTATCAATAATAATGATATTATATCACGTTGACGTGTGTAGATATGGATCTTCTTTACATGCACATCCCATACTCTTCCCATAGTTTAGAATGGTTTTAAAATCTTTCTGCATAGGTATACTCAACTTTGTTCCCTTGTTAGTAAAAAGAGTCGATTCATTGCCATCCAATCTTGAAATATTTCCGACGATGATTGTTATCTTGTCCTTCGTTTAACGGTCGACTATTGTCAATCAAAGCTCTCATGTAATTTAAAAGACTTTCTTAATAATTCAAAAATAGATCTGAAGAATAAAAAAAAAAAAAAAAAAGAAAAACTTGTCTCTCTGTTATCATGAAACAAAATTCAATTATCAAGCTCAAGCAACATATTGTATTGATCTAAAAATCGTTTTTTAATATAATTGTATAAATCATATTCGTATTTAAGAAATGGCATAAGAATTTTCGTTGTATTTTTATTTGGAAGTCGAACATTAATATCTCTTTTATCTGCCAATATTTTTGGATCATGTTGATTCATAAATAAAATACGAGCAAGTTTAAAATATTGTGGTAGAAGTTTTTCTAAATGGAAAACAAGAAAACATAAAATTAACTACTATTTCAGTATAAACAAAAAGATTTTATCAATACAATTCAATTCTTTTTTTTGTTTTTTTGAATTGAAATAAAAGAACATACCAAGAACATATAGAAATTTATAAAATTCTTCTGCAATACCAACAACTGTATAGAAAAAATCAATATTTTGTTTTGCTTGTTTTAATGCCCAATTATTTTCTTCTTGACATTCAATTGAATATTTTAATCCACAAAAAAATGGTAACATTCGTGCAATACCATTATCAGATGAAATACATTCTTTTGGTGATCGTTTTATAACACATTCATCAAGTGTTTCGTTTATTGCATCTTGTTGTACAAAGCAACGATTTGTTTTTCGACAAATTTCACGTGAATGTTTATATTCTGCTGCTATGCGATACATTGGATCACGAACTAAATTAATCCATACAGGATGATTAGGAAATTGTAATGCATAATAATCAAAAAAATAAATATGTCGTTCGTATATTAATTGTTTAAATTTATGTTTATTTAATGATCGTGCTATTGATACTAACGCAGACTTATTATAAGAAAATGGAACATATATTTGACTTGATATATAAGTATATGAATGAAGATAAGATATATCTTGTAAAAATAATCCCATGGTATGTTCATAACATTGTGGTAAACGATTGTATATAATAACGGATGTATCACCTTTAACATTAAGTATACGTGTATATGGATGACTGTCTGGAGATGGAGGTAGGATATTTAATTGTTGTGAAGGACGATATTCTTCATCAAGATAATTAATGTCAACATCAAGATCGTCAATATCAATAAATGAATAACGTAAACGTGCTTCAGGTGATATTGGTGAATGAGATTGTCTTTTAAAAGAATGATAAAAAATAAAATTGGTTATTGTCTAATCTGAGTTTTCTTTTTTTTCTACTAGATGAAATAGATACTTACAATGTTTTTTTATTATTATTTTCACATATACACAAAGATGAAGATGATCTTTTTCTGATATTTTGAATATTTTCATTTTTTTTCTTGTCTTGCAATGATTGTTGTCTTAAATACTTATTACCAAAAATTGATTTTGAATTCAATCGCGTTTGTTTTAATAGAATATATAAATTGATGATAAAATAGATCATCATTGCAAGAATAATAAATCTCCAACAACGAAAATTTCGATTAATTAATAAAATAAATCGATAAATGTAGGATATTAATAGCATGATTGATTGTCTTATTCTCATAAAAATATTGAAAATTTGTTAGCTACTCAATAGATAAAGCGAAGTGATATTTATATATTGTGTGAATATTAAATATTAACAATAATTGTTTTATAAATAGATCTTATACTTATTTATTCAAAGGCAAAAAAACATTGTGAATAGTTTTTTGTTTCTTTTTTCTGTTATTGCAAATTACTTTTACTTGATGAAGATCTTTGATTTTGCGAAGGCAAACACACGTACAACACTCAATTTATTGATTTCATATTGATGTTCTATATTTTTTATTTCTATCGTTGTCATTTATGCTTACTCATGCAATGCATGAATGATTGAAATGTATATCAAGGTATACCTTTCATGAATTATTTAAGTGAGCAATATACAAGGTCGAAAGTAAAATTGTGATTCTTATTTAAAATAAATAGCAAAACATTACACAAGTAATGACTTCCAAAAATACTTCAATATGAAACACTATTTCAATTTGATAATGAGTAATAAAAATTAGTATTTTAATTATTTTATGAAGCGAACTGTCAGAATAGAACTATAATTAACAATTAAATTATCTAGTCGTCATTCATGTTTATTTATTTCTATGATTATGAATTTGTTCTATATAAAAAACATGAAAAACTATTAGAATGACTATGTGTTTCTCATGTTTGATCATGTGATATAACGATGTTAATGTCTAGGTTAATATTATTAAGCATTTGCGTACCTGTAATACAATGGAATAGTAAAAGACTAATATCAATTCAAAGACGAAATCTACAATGTATGATGTTGACAAATAATTAAAAAAATCGATTATGTGTTAATATGATGTTATGAATAAACCAACTATCATTGAGTGCCTTATTTTATTTTATTTTTTATATCATTAGACAAAAGTCTAAATATTGTTCTTTATTTCATTACATATAAAGAAATTTGAGTTTCATTCAGTTCTCAATTGAAATAATTTTATTCATCAGATCTAATGAAAAATAAATATTTTTTTTTGCTTACGTTTAAATAAGTACATATTTGTGTTTTGGTTCTCTTCTCTTATATTCACATGAAAATGAATTTTCTCTCTAGTGGAAAGCATTCATAGTAGGAAAACGGCGAGGAGGAGGGGGTGTCTGACAAAGACGTGTCGCCTAAATGAGTGACCTGCTATTCTTTTAATGTTATTAGATTTCGAAATGAGAGAATAAAAAAAATCAAGTGTCTAAAGTTGTTATTTTTTCATACATCAACTAAAGATCTGTTTTTTTTCAATACGAAAATTAGATTAAGTTTTGTTCAACAAAATTCCAGATTAGTAGAAAAATATTTTTCAAAAATTTTAATTATGAAATTTTAGTAACCATTTCTCGACTAAGTAAATCAGCTTGTCGTATTGGTTCACAATTACGATATTTAGTCACTGATTTAAATATATCACAAGCTGTTGTTAATGTTATTTTATGTCCAACACTAATATATACAGCACTTTTTACCGAACCAGTTACATTATAAGCTAAACCAAGAATATTTCCACTATCATCAATCACTTCAGCATATTGATCTTTTTCAGGTGCTTTTTCATTTAATAAATCTTGAACTTTCTCTCGTGTTATACTATCGACATAAAGAACATTTTTCGATACACCAAAACATGGAAATCCACTTAAAACACCAAAATGTGATGCAATACCAGCACGACGTGGATGCCAAACACCATTTCCATCCATTAAAATAACTTGTGGTGTTAAATGAGGACAACATTCTTTTTGAATATCAATTAATTTCATAAAAACTGGAGCTTCACGAAATGCTAAATAACTAGGTATATATGGAATTTTCATATTACAATTAACACTTATTTTAGCTACAATATTTAATGTTTCATAATCAAAAATAACCATAGATCCAACAGCTTTATCATTTGTTTTAACAAAACTTATATCTAAACCAGCTACATATTTTATTGGTTGTTCAATCTGATCAGTATCAGTAATTATTGATGGAACAATATTCTCTTGTTCTCTAAAATATTATAAAAACAAAATTAATTTCTTCTCTAATAATTATCTTAATATCTTTTCATCTGACAATACAGCATAATAGATATTTCTGAATTCAACAAAGCTAACATTAGAGTTATGATAGTTCCTCAAGAAACAAGGAATGAATGAACTATATATATATATATATAAATTATAAAATAATCTAATAGAAATAATTAAATATCAAGATCTATCATTAGCAAAATAATAAGAGCAAGGAATGACATATGCATAGGGCAATATTGATCATAATAGTTATTATCTATATAGATTTCACAAGTTCTTTAATTGAGGATTACTGTTTGATGGGAATTATTTGCAATTATTATGAGAAGATAGAAAGAAATATTATATGTCATTATACCTAACTTGTTAGTGATATGTTTACTCACTCTCAATTCTATTGATTAGGAGAAAATAGACAAATAACTGACCACTGTATTTCTTACTAACGAGGGAAAGTCTCCAAGTGTAAGTCTCTATTTTCAATAGATTTTATGCCAATCTATAGAGCTCGACGAGCTGATCACAATGGTATCAAGCCGATGGAGAAACAGCAGAGATTTCAGTCTTGAAATCTTTTGAAGTCTGTTGTTTTCTCCTTGCATAAAGTGTTCTTCTGAATGGAATATCTTTGAGGAGTTAGATCGATCTCAACGTCCGAAAAATGACTGCTATGTTGAATATGTTAATTCTTATGTTAGTTTACTAGCATAAAAATTAAAATTTCCAAAATAACAACTTAGAGTCATTTTTCTCAAGTTGGGATAGATCCAACTCCTGAAAGACAGCCTACGGCGAAGAATGCATAATACTATCACTATCAACTCATTAAGCTGTAAAAACTGTCATGAAGCTGATTGAAAATAGAGACTTACACTTAAAGATGTTCCCTTATAAATGATAGTTTAGTGATGCTATCTATTTTTCTGACACTAAGTCAACATTTGATTCCTCATCTTCACTAAATACAATTAAAAATACTGAATCTCAAATAGGTCTTTTCATTCATAATGATTTGTGAATAGTAGAAATTTTCAACTTTCTTCGATTAGTAATAACGTTTCTACAAAATGAATACATACTGTGTCCATATTGGTAAAAGATCATCAGCATTCATTTCATAACCAAATTCAAAAAACTCTTTTATTTCAATATTCACACATGTTTGATTCTTATTATTATTTGAACCTTTTTTTGAAGCCATATAAGGTTCTTGAACACGTTTTATGAAATCAATCTAAAAGAAATGTTGAAATATAGATAGAAATTAAGACACATCTTCTTCAGACCGTGAAAGACATTATTAATATACGATTGAAGTCTATATATCAATAACATCTTGTTCTAATACATGAAGTATTTCGTTATTGCATTTTCAGAGGATTAAGTAAAAGCATAATGAAGAAATATGTTCCAAAATAGATAAAATAAAGCAATCGCCCTATGAATAGCAACAGCAATTACGTCATGTTTCATATTTTGATCTCATAGGGTTTACACTAATAGCTTTTTTTAAATTCATTAAAATCAATTGCTTTCCTTTTCTTCTTGCAGTCCGATCAATCCATAATCTTTTGTTCATTCAATAATTCGTCATATGGATATGTATTTTCAAGTAAGCTGCAGGCAATTTGAATCTTAAAAATTTTTTTTTCGTTTGTTTTTGACACATGTTTTGATAGAACGTGAGTTCACTGATCACAAAAACCTACTCCTTGACGTTATTGGACGCTCTTTTGAGATCGAAAAAAATCTAAAATTTGTAAGTTGGTATTTTTCTCAAAAAACATATTTCTCTCGAAATGTGTGAAATTTTCAGCTTTCAAAACTGAATTCAAAGAAAATGTTAAATCGGTTTTAATTCCGAAAACCTTTTGATAGTGGTGCTACAAATTTTGCCTGTTACAATGCCTATAGGTCGTTTTTGTAAACCTATCTAGTTGTTTTTGGTTAAGTGAGAAGGCCAAATATATTCTCTCGTGCGATTCATCATAACATTTATCGCAAAAAGGATGCCGTTACTTTTTTAAAAAATTTTGTTCTCTTGCTGAGAAATAATATTTCCTTGAGTACCATAGACTTTTAGTCGATATTCAGTAGTTTTTGAATTCAAATTAGATTTTTACCCGAAAAACCAATACAGATTTAGAATTAACACAAAAACTGAATCACATGAAGCATCTTTCAAATTAATTTGACGTGTTGATGCATAAACTTTACTTCTCTTGCTATAAATCGAAAAAATGAGTGTTGTCAAATTAGCTTAAAAAATATTTCATGTGACTCAGTGTTTTCCTTTTGTGCTGATTTTGAATCCTGAAAAAGTCTATGATCGTCAAGAAAATATTATTTCTCAGTAAGAGAAAAAAATTAAAAAAACAAAAAAATAAAATAATGCATACTTTCGTGGTTAGTGTTATGATGAATCAAACACGACAATATGTTTGACCTCGTTGTCTAACGAAAACAACTAGATAGGTTTACAAAAACGACCTATAGACATTGTAATGGGCGGAATTTGTGGCGCCACTATCAAAAGGCTTTTGAGATTAAAACCGATTCAAGCTTTTCTTTAGACTGAGCTTTTAAGGGTAATCTAAAAATAATCCTCCCAGAGGCTGTTAAAAAGAGCAAAGCAGAAAATTTCGCACATTTTAGTAGAATTGTGTTTTTTAAGAAAAACGACGCCTTACATGTTTTTGACTTTTCCGATCTGAAAAGAGAGTCTATTAACATTAAGAACTAGCTTTTCGTGATCAATAGCTGATATTCTATGAAATCGTGTGTAAAAACGATGAAAAAAAAACAATTTTACTTGAAGTTCAAATTGTCAGCACCTTAGATCAACGACAGTTCTATGTAAAAGAAAATGTGCACTTGATTTTTGATTTCATTCGTCAACATTGTTATATTAATATTATTTGGACAAAAAAAATCGCCCAAGATTAATTGCATATTCAGATATAGCGGATACCGATTTAGCATGATGATGACCAAATACATCTTCATTTACCTTCGGTTTGAAATCTGACCATTTAATTTGCATATTATCACGAAGTGGTTGATGTATTAAAGCAAAATTACTATATAATTTCGTAGATCGATCATGTATAGGTACAGTTGTTAAAAGATTTAAAATAAATGACATGATCTCCTTAGGTAATATTGCTGAACGATCAGTACCAATATTTTCAGCAAGTTTATCAATAGAATTTATAGCAATATCATAAGATTTGACTAAAAATTCTTTGAATTTTTTGTTATTAATATTAATTTGTTTGAATGAATATTGACGAAATATTCCATAGAATTGGTTCATTTTTACTTCAATCGTATCTTCATACTGATTGGTGTGTTTTACAGACCAGCACTGCGTAAGGAGGGAGGGCGCTATGACTAAAGTGAAAATGTTGTCAATAAGTTATTTGATTTATAATTATCAATCATAGATAAAAGTAACATTTGAACATGATGAAGAATTTTATTTCCTGTTAAAATGTAATAAAATACATAATTTACAAATTTTCGATTTGATTCTATTGACCAATTTAATGGAATAAAACCAGCATATGATTCTCAATAAAGAGTTATTAATTAATTTGAATTGTCTATTGTTGTATTTATATAAGATTTCCAAGTAAACTCCATTTTCATCATATGTTTAGATTTTTTTAAATGCATTTTTCGTTGATTCATTTTAAAATATGACCACTGGACTTATATCATCGTATGGATTTGCTGTTTCAATATTTGTACACGATCAAATTGAGCAGTTTGATAAATAATCATCAATAAATATACCAGAAATAAAATCTTTACAAGAAATTTTATTCTTGAAATTTATCAAAATACTTATTCATTTCGAAAAACAAATTAAGAATAAATCAGTATTTTCAAAAAACAAAAGCAACAAATTTATCTTTTACTGTTTTCAACTTAAGATCAGCTTTTGGAATATTAACTAAATATGACGATGTCATTAGTTTTTTCTTTCTGTACAGTAGAGAGAAAAGAAAACACTTATATACACTAAAATCTTGCACAATCTGTATGAAATCAATATTTAATCATTTAACTAATATCGAAACTCGATAAAATAATCTTGCAAAAAGTTAACTTCGAAAAAAAAAAATAATGATCAAACATTGAGAACATATATTGCAATTTTCCGCAATAGACGAGCCTACCCACTATGATGCAATTACATATACAAGACGATTGCATCATGCTATTCTATTCAGATTACATATTCTTTCTTCAGAATCGTGGTTCTTTTTTACTATTAACAAATATAACTGAGTGTTGTAAGGATCTTTGATATCTATGAAAATATGTATTCACTATTATAAAAATGATCAAATTATTACTTTGAAATCAGTCGTATTACATCTATCTTATTTAGATATAAAATTAAATAACAAGAAGTACAGATGTGCACAATTCAAAATAAATAATAGGGCTTGAGGAATGTTCATTGTTAGAGAAGAAATTGAAATATTTCTTTATTTTGTATACGATAAAAATAAGGCTTTATGTGTTTGTGGAAAAGTTCAACGAAAAGAATAAAACTGAAAAAAAACCAAGAAAATATACAATGAACAAGAAATTGTACAGCTGCATGATCACTAATTTCGTACTATGAGCAATCATTTCTGTACTACAATTCTATATCTGTTATGTATTTTTCTAATGATAAATTTTCATATTTTTTAAAACTTTATTCTTTCCTTTGATCGGTTAAAAATAAATAAAATCTTATTTTTATGATACCAAATAAATAAATAAGTAAATAAATATCAAACTTTTTCTATTAATGGTGAAGATTTCTTTATCTTTGTCTCATAAAGTAACAGTACGCTAAAGCACAGATTGATCACAGTAAAATATAGGAAATCAAAAACAAAAAAATAAATTATTCTTTGAAGCAGAGAAGTCCAATTATAAATAAATATACATTATGGATTACTAATGATTAAGCTTAATACTTGAGCATTATTTGGTATTAGAATTAATTCATGCTTAGGTTTTAGCATTAATTTAGTGTTATTTTTAATTCTAATACATATACTTTGTGTCAGCTCTAGACTGCCATCTTGATATACTATCTTTAACTTTTCAAGGATTACCAGTTGGTACTCTCTGTAACCTATTTGAGTGATTCTCAAAAATAAAATACTGTTATAATGTCAATGTAGCAGCTGACAAATTACAGAGAATACTATCTGGCAATCCTTGAAAAGTTACAAATAGTGCTTCCAGGTAATCTTTGAAAAGCTACAAGGAGTAGCCCTTGAAAAAATTGAATGTACTATGCCAAGAATTTAAATGCAGTGTATGTATTAGAATTAAAAATAATACTAAATTAATGTTAACATCTAAACATTAATTAATTCTAATGCCAATAATGCTTAAGTATTAGTCTTAATAGTTAATGTTAATGCACAAGCATTGGCATGATTTTAATACTAATGCTAATACGACAGTTTTAAGTTCTCTTGTTTGATTGCATTTTATAGTTAATCTGAAAACCTGTATTTTAATACCGAACTTTTTATCGAAATTTAGGAAAGTAAATTTAAACGAATTTTTATTCACATATTTTGACAATTAACCTTGTAAAAAAAGGCGTACCGTTTCATATCAACAAAAAAAAAAGTACAAGGCGTACATCTTCATTTACTTTCACTATTATTTCCATGCATTCGAAGAGCAAAGAAAAGTTATTGCATAATAAACGAGTCATACGTCCTAATATATATTCATTCATTTTTATGCAACTTAAACTTAAATATGCATGTTTTGTGATATAGATATGTCATTGTCTTCATGGAGAAATGAAGTATCTAATATTGATATTTTTCATATATTAACTCAAGTTTATTTTTTAAAATCGAAATCAAATTAAATTTTGTTCAAGAAAATTCCAGATTAGTAGAAAAATATTTTTCAAAAATTTTAGTTATGAAATTTTAGTAACCATTTCTCGACTAAGTAAATCAGCTTGTCGTATTGGTTCACAATTACGATATTTAGTCACTGATTTAAATATATCACAAGCTGTTGTTAATGTTATTTTATGTCCAACACTAATATAAACGGCATTTTTTACAAAGCCAGTTACATTATAAGCTAAACCAAGAATATTTCCACTATCACCAATCACTTCAACATATTGATTTTCTCCTGATGCTTTTTCAGTTAATAATTCTTCAATTTTTTCTCGTGTTATACCATCAGCATAAAGAACATTTTTCGATACACCAAAACATGGAAATCCACTTAAAACACCAAAATGTGATGCAATACCAGCACGACGTGGATGCCAAACACCATTTCCATCCATTAAAATAACTTGTGGTGTTAAATGAGGACAACATTCTTTTTGAATATCAATTAATTTCATAAAAACTGGAGCTTCACGAAACGCTAAATAACTAGGTATATATGGAATTTTCATATTACAATTAACACTTATTTTAGCTACAATATTTAATGTTTCATAATCAAAAATAACCATAGATCCAACAGCTTTATCATTTGTTTTAACAAAACTTATATCTAAACCAGCTACATATTTTATTGGTTGATCAATCTGATCAGTATCAGTAATTATTGATGAAACAATATTCTTTTGTTCTCTAAAATATTTTCAAAAACGAGATTGATTCTTCCTCTAATAATTATCTTAAGGTCTTCACCGCTCAAAAATTAATCTCAGTCTAAGAACATTCAAATGACATAAAATTTTCAGGATATATTGGGACTGTAGTAGATCAGCTATAATAAAATTTTGGGTGCCGAGTTATATAAGTGCCTGTATATATAATAAAAAAAGCGCTTCGCACTGCGCTATATCTTGACCCGCTCTTTCAAACAAAAAAAAATTAAATATATTGAATGAGTGTCGAGAGAGAAATTTGAATTGCACGCTAAAACGGAGACAAAACGAAAAAGTTCTTCCGTTTTTTCTGAAAACAGCTTATTTTTCGAACAGAAAACGACAGAAATTTTGAAAAATTTTTGGACAAAATGAGATGCCGAGTAAAAATTTTTATCGTTTATGAAAGATCAAATGTCGGGCTATCTTCTTATACATTTATCTTAATTTCGACCATTCTGACGAAAAGTGAACTTTTTTTGAGGGGTCTTAGTATCTTTTCATCTGACAATACAACATATTAGATATTTCTGAATTCAACACAGCTAACATTAGAGTTATGATAGTTCCTCAAGAAACAAGGAGTGAATGAACTATATATATATATAGAAATTATAAAATAATTTAATAGAAATAATTAAATATCAAGATCAATCATTAGCAAAATAATAAGAATAAGGAATGACATATGCAAAGGGCAATATTGATCATAATAGTTATTATTTATATAGATTTCACAAGTTTTTTAATTGAGGATTACTGTTTGATGGGAATTATTTGCAATTATTATGAGAAGATAGAAAGAAATATTATATGTCATTATACATAACTTATTAGTGATATATTTACTCACTCTCAATTCTATTGATTAGGAGAAAATAGACAAATAACTGACAACCGTACTTCTCATTAACGAGAGAAGGTCTTCAAGCGTGAATGTCTATTTTTAATAGATTTTATGTCAATTTATAGAGCTCGATGAACTGATCATGATGGGATTATGTGTTCTTCACTATAGGCTATCTTTGTGGAGTTAGTTCGATCTCAACTTGAGAAATTAATGGCATTGAAATATTCAAAGTTAAGACGTAGTTACAAGTTCTATTTATGTTGATTGTATGGATAATATGTACAGCCAATTAAGACATATCTAGTGTTCAAGTTTTGAATGCTGAGAATTAAACTAACATAAAAATTAAAATTTTCGAAATAACAGCTTACAGTCATTTTTCTGACATTGAGATCGACCTTACTCCACAAAGACATACACTAGAGAGAGGGGTATTTGATGTCACCATGATCGGCTTATTGAGTTCTAAAAATTAGCATAAAAGTGATTGAAAACGGAGACTCACATTTGGGAAGGTTCTCTCGATACTTTCAACTTTGTCCGATTAGTGATAATGTTTCTAGAAATTGAATACATACTGTGCCCATATTGGTAAAAGATCATCAACATCCATTTTGTAGCCAAACTCAATAAAATCTTTTATTTCAATATTCAAACTTGTTTGACTCGTATTATTATTTGAACTTTTTCTCGAAGCAATATAAAGTTCTTGAATATGTTTTTTTAAATCATTAAAATCAATTTTACTATCATCTAATTTAATCATATGTGGAATTTTTAATTTTGATGGTTCAAATAAAACTTCATTTGTATTTTCATTAAATTCCATTCCACTAGCAACTAATTCGGCTATAATTTTATATTGATATGAACGTGATAACGCATCATCATTGGGTTTAGTCATATTTTTTGTTGTTTTACGAAATTTTAAATAATGTTCAATTGTTAAAACAATATATGGAAAAATATAATCAGCATAAATATTTCCTTTTCTTCCTGCAGTTCGACCAATATGAATTATACAATCTATAATCATTTGTTCATTCATTAATTCGTCATAAGGATATTTATTTTCAAGTACATCAGCAACAATACTATGTAAAAGAAAATGTGCACTTGATGTATTTGGTATCACATTACCGTAATAACCTTTAAGTTTATTATCAAGATTTATCTTGATTTCATTCATCAATTTCGTTATATTAATACGTTTATTTTCAATATCTTGTCTCCATAATGGTTCAGTATTAAAAAATAATTTACTTGGACAAGAAAATTGTCCAAGATTAATTGCATAGTCAGGTATAACGGATACAGACATAGAATGATAATGACCAAATACATCTTCATTTACCTTCTTTTCAAATTCTGACCATTCAATTTGCATATTGTCACGAAATGGTCGATGTTTTAAAGCAAAATCAGTATATAATTTCATAGGTCGATCATGTATAGGTACAGTTGTTAAAAGATATAAAATAAATGATACAATTTCTTTAGGAAGTATTGTTGAACGATCAGTACCTATATTTCTAGCAATTTTATCAATAGAATGCATAGCAGTATCATAAGATTTGCCTAGAAATTCTTTTAATTTTTCGTTATTAATATCGATTTGTTTCAATGAATGTTGACGAGGAATTCCACATAATGTATCAAAAAGAATATCATATAATTGTTGTTTAACAATACTTAAATGTTCAGGACCAAATTTTGTTTTTGAACATTGATTTTCTATACACATAAGTGTAAAACGTTTTCTTAAAAGTATTTGAATTATTTCTTTATCAAGTTGATGAAAAATATAATTAAAATTTAAAATTCTACAAAAAGCATTAATTGGTTGTCGTAATAATTTATCTTCTTGTTTTATAATTTCTTTTAATGCATTAATAAATATCATTCGAATACCTTCTTCAGAAAATGAATCAGTTGTATAAATATTTTCAATAATTTGTTTAATAAAAAAATCTTTTATTTCTTGATTAAACCAATTTGATTTATAATCATCAATTATAGATAAAAGTAACATTTGAATATGATGAAGAATTTTATTTCCTGTTAAAATTTGATAAAGTACATAATTTGCAAATTTTCGATTTGATTCTATTGACCAATTTAATGGAATAAAACCAGCACATGATTCTCGATAAAGAGTTATTAATTGATTTGAATTGTTTATTGTTGCATTTATATAAGATTTAGCACAAAAACCACAAACGGGATTTGAAACAATACAATTAATTAAATTTTCATTTCCTTCTAATGGAAAATTAATAATAAAATCATTTGTTGTATCATTAAGATTATTTGGTATTTTTAACCAAAGTACAAATGGTCCTTGTTCCATACAAATAGCACATTGAAATAATGGAACATTTGTATGATCTAAAATATTAATTATATCAGAATATTCATTATCATTTATTGTTAATAATTTTGCTCGATTAGCACGATTTGAAGAAAATGTAAAATCATTAATTGAATAAGAACCAATTTCTTGTTCATGAATTAAATTTTGTATATTATTCCAATATTGACGATTTTTATGAAGATTTAAATTAATATATTTAAGATATTCAATTTCTTCAATTTTAGCTTGATCTGATATATGATGAAGTTGTTGACGATATTGATTTAATTCAATTGAATTATTAATTTCATTTAATTTTAATTTAACAATATTTGAAATAATTTCATCACGTTGTTTTAAATATTTAAAATTAAAATTTAATTTTAATTTTTCTTTATCAATTTCTATTGATTGATTTTTCATATGAGAAACAAATATTCGTAATTCATGTAATTTATTACCTATTTTTCCATATTGAATTAATGTTTTCCAATCATTTTCAGTTAAATTTGATATTAAATTTAAATCTTTTGTATTTAAAAATTTATTAAAATCAATTGCAATCATTTCTTCTTCATTATCACGAATTGGAATATAACCATCAGGAATTTTTGTATATTCATAAATTTGAATATTATGAAATAATTCATTTATATTTAATGTATTTAACTTTTGATAATCTGTTAAATCATCAGATGATTTATAAAACTGACTAATATAACCTTTTGATGAAAGAATATAAAAAATTTCACCATCATAAAAAAGACATAAAACATTAGAAGCTATCATTAATGGTGCAACAACTGAAACATTGATTTGTGATGGTGTTAAAAATCTTTTATGAACGATTATACAAATAACTAATGCTTTGTTTAAATTATCTTTTGTATGTGTTGCAAACTAAATTTATGAAATGATCATCATTTTAAAAAAGTGAAAAATCTTTCAACTGATAAATAGTTTTTGAATCAAAACTATGTGCATTATGTAGACCTAAATGAGCTATGAACATCCTGAAAAGAGTTCATACCCTTAGATTATTACTGCGGAGAGACTGCAATTTTTAAATGAATGCTGTGATTCTCTCAATAGTACTAGAGAAACTGATTTTCGAATTTCAGTTTGAAACTTTACCTAGAGATAGGCTTTAACAAGAATTTGTTTTTGTGAATATTTCAGATCTTGTCTCTGTTCCTATCATAAAACCAAATCAATATACCGGAAACTTTTTCAATAAGAGTAGGATGTAGGTGAGGACCTACAAAAGATCTTTATCAGTATACCCGCAATGAATTGTCCGGGCATCCACTCTTATGTGGCCAAAATACAATGGAGATATACAAATTGTTTTTCTGTAGGTGATTTCCAAGACATCCTGTATGTTAGCAGGTCAACGAAAAAGAATATAGATCTCGATATCTATTTTTCAGATTTCTGTGAAATGATTAAGATTTTTTTAAATAAGATTAGAAGAGAATCAAGAAAAAACATTAGCAATTATTGAAGCTTTAAAAAACCTCTAACATGGTTCATCTTTATAGTTTTGGTAGATAGAAATTCAAAATGTAATCAATATGATTAACAGTACATACCAACGAAATATGAAATCTGCGCGTAGGAAAAGAAATTGAGAATAAGCTATTTTAATGTAATTGAAGAAACAAAAATAATTTTCTTCAATACTCAAAAGTCTCAATGTGATATAGAAAATTCAAATTCTCAATTTTTTTTTCTCTTTGTTACCTGTGTGACACTATTATTATCAATTTCTCCATCGGTAACAAAAACAATAACATCAGATTTATTAAATGCATTTTTCGTTGATTCATTTTGAAATATTGTCGTTGGATTTGTACCACCCTCTGGATGTGCTGTTTCAATATTTGTATATAATTTAGCTGTTGTATTCCAAAGAACAATATGATCAAATTGAGTAACTTGACAAATACTTAATTCAGCTTGTAAAACATTTTTTCCTATTGAAACCAATTGAGATGATGTTGAACCAGAATTATCAATAAATATACCAGTAATAAAATCTAAACAAAAAATATTATTAATACAAAACAATATTAAATATCCTTATAAACAAAGAAATTTTATTCTTGAAATTTATCAAAATACTTATTCATTTCAAAAAACAAATTAAGAATAAATCATTATTTTCAAAAAACAGAAGCAACAAATTTACCTTTTACTGTTTTCAACTTAAGATCAGCTTTTGGAATAGTAACTAAATATGACGATGTCATTATTTTTTTCTTTCTGTACAGTAGAGAGAAAAGAAAACACTTATATACACTAAAATCTTGCACAATCTATATGAAATCAATATTTAATCATTTAACTAATATCGAAACTCGATAAAATAATCTTGCAAAAAACTAATTTCGAAGAAAAAAACAATGATCAAACATTGAGAACATGTATTGCAATTTTTCGCAATACATGGGCCTACCCCCACTATGATGCAATTACATATGCAAGACGATTGCATCATATTAATCTATTCAGATTACACATTCTTCCTTTAGAAATATGGTTTATTTTTACTATGAATAAATTTAATTAAGTGTTTTAAGGATCTTTGATATCTATGAAAATATGTATTCACTATTACAAAAATGATCAAATAATTACTTTGAAATCAGATTAAACGATTTCTTTTATCTTTTGTTCCGTTTCGATAAACATTTTACTAGGTAGAATAATAAAAATCTTCTATTATTATTATTATTATTATTAATATTGTTATTGTACCGTGTTATATAAACCTAGTATTAACAATAGAGCAAGAAAATACTAATTAAGAAATCCATCGATAAAAATCTTGGTGGTCGTGGTCGATGATCAATGGAAACTAATATTTGTAAATATGATCCTGGAAAACTTGTCTCTATTAATTTTAAATATTTGTTTTGTCTCCTTTCAACAATTTTTATATAACTTGCCAAATTTTGGTTTTCGAGAAAAATAGTCTTGCTGACATAAATTTATTCCGACATTTATTTTAACACTTAACCTTGAAGAAACAAAATACATGCATATTTACGTTAGTAAAAACAAAATACAAGGCACATATTTTTGTTTTCTTTCGTTATTTCTATGCATCCATAGAACAAAAGATAGTCATTGCGCAATGATCGGACAATAAATGATACTATTTATTTATTAATTTTTCTGTAATAAAATAAAATGTTTAGTATTTTCATCATGTTGAAATTGATGATCTAAATCTAAATGATTTGCTAATACACTTAAACAACTTAAACTTAAATGTGCATGTTTTGTTATATATGTATACCAATAAGATGATAAAGAAGATAATATAGTATCAGGTTCCGTTTGTTCAAATTTAGTTTGATTTATATTATCATGATCGAAAATAATTGAATCAGAAGGTGAAGTAAAAAAACTAGAAAAAAATTTTGATCGATTTCCTTTAATATAAGATTCATCATTTATTAATAATCGATTTGATAAATGATGTTTAGTTGTATGAATTATTGTTGGTGGTAAATCAAATTCAAGTTCTTCAATTATAATTCCAGCTAACCAATTTGTATGACGTTTTAATGCATTTATATCGGATTTAATATGATCACCAAAATATATAACTATAGGATCTTTATTACTTATTTGATTCATAATTAAATGTAAATCTTCACTATTACCTAATGAATAAATATAATTTTGATTAAAATTTTTAATTATTTCATCAATAGTAACTGGTATTATATTATTATCATTAATAAATCGATAAAATGATTGTTTATTTAAATTATTAAAAAATGAAGGTTTTTTACAATCAACAATAATAAAATCAAATAGATTTTGCCAATCATTGCCAAATGCATAAGTTGTTAATAAATTTGTATAATCAAAACGTGAATTTGTTGCTAAAAATAATTTTTTATTTGATTTTTTTAATTTTTCTAACCATTGTCGAACATCTAAACGTTTATATATAAATTTATTTGGATTTTCACGTATTGATGAAAAATAATTTCCACGTTGAAAATCATTAAATAAATAACTAAATCCGTTATTAAGATCTATTAGAAAAAAATTATATTTTTTCATTAAATTAATTTGATTTTTTGAAGATTTTTCATATAAATTTTCTTTATCAATTAAATCAACAATATTTGCTATTAAATATGATACACTATGTTCAAAATACGTAAAAATACATAAAAAACGTTTACTAGTATCTTCTTCAATAGCTTCGAATGCATTTGGATAAATTTCTTTAATTTTTTCAGATGATAAACGTGTATTAACACCATGTAATGCTGTATGAACTAATCCATTCGAATCTAATTGAATTAAATTTCCATACAGACTATCATAAATTAAAGCTTTAACACCAAAATAATTATCATACGGAATTTCAAGTAAATGAGAATTGTATTGATGTGTATCAACGAGATATTGACAGAGTGATTGATAAATTAATGTATGAAGTTCAGGTAAACGATAACGAATTAATGTATGATCCAAATCAAAACCTATCCAATCACATGATGATAATGAAAAAGTTTTCGTAGTTGAAGTTGAGGTCATTTTTTTTGATCGTGCACTTTGTGTTTAACTAGGAGAATAAAACAAAGAAAAGAAAAAATAATAAAAGTCGACGGCACGTGGAAGATAGGAAAAGCAAATTATTTGTGATTCATAGATCAGCTTGTACGAGCGTAATGCGATGACGAAAAAACGACAAAAAGTTGAGGATCACCTAATTGTTCTTTATTTCTCTGCGAATGTATACTATATTCAAAGAAACGTTCTATGGACATTTTGTAGCCAACCGTTTGAAGTATCCAACGAAGAAAAAAATTCTTCGAACAGGCTTCTTATTTTGAATAGAAATCGATTTGATTAACGTAACGCGATGACGATGACTTTTGTAATCATTTTTTTTCTATGCTTCATTTTGTTATATGTACACCTATGTTAAGACAAGATATTATTGTTATTCTACCACTTAGAGTATACAAATGTTAAATGTTGTGTTTATTAATTCTTCTAATATCAAAAAAAAATCGTAAAAAAAAATAAACTACTTTGACTAGTATGTATAGTAATGTCTGTGTAAGGTCGAAAAAACTCAAAATTTCAGTTAACATTTTTTTCTCGATGATTTATATATGGTTGGATAGAGCTCAAAAAACTGTGTAAGGAAATGTATTTTTAAATCTTTTTTCTCTTTTATATACATTTAAAAAATCAAAATACTGAGACCATTCCGTATAGAATGATCTCACGAGGGAACCTCCCGAGGTGTCAAAAAACTTTTGAGCCCAAATTTTATCCATAAATAGAGAATATATAGACTAGAAAAAGTCTAAGAAGATATGGGTGCAAGTTGAGATTTGGCTGAGATATCGACTTTTTACTATAGTTTTCCTATGGGATTCCATTTTCCCCATAAAATCAAAGTTTCGAGTTTTGGCGTGAAACTTTGCCCATATCAAGACCTCAACTAGAGTAGTCCATCTACAAAATTTCAGAATATTTGGACTAAGCATTCTCGAGATATGAGTCTGTTAGCATAAACACAGTTTTTTACAAATATTTTTGTATGCATGGATATTTTGAAAACATTATATCTCGAGAATGCTTAGTCCAAATATTCTGAAATTTTGTAGATGGGCTACTCTAGTTGAGGTCTTGATATGGGCAAAGTTTCACGTCAAAACTCGAAACTTTGATTTTATGGGGAAAATGGAATCCCATAGGAAAACTATAGTAAAAAGTCGATATCTCAGCCAAATCTCAACTTGCACTCATATCTTCTTAGGCTTTTTCTAGTCTATATATTCTCTATTTATGGATAAAATTTGGGCTCAAAAGTTTTTTGGCACCTCGGAAAGTTTCTTCGTGAGTTTTTATTTACACGAGCAGACTTCAAAAGCTATCGCCTTCAACTGAATTATAAAAATTTAATCCTTGTTTTCTACATATAGAAAGACATTATGCAACGATTATTTTTTAATAACTTGATTTTCTTGAATGTTAATTACACGGTCACTATCTGCATCGCTTAATAAATACAACTGTCATGTTTAGACTCAAGATGATTCGAATGTCACTTCAAAGTTGCAAATGCACTTAACAACACTTACTGTGTGATATGTAATCTTAAGCAAATAGATTGTTAATTCATTTTTCTTTGGATTATCCAACGATTAATCAATAAAATAAGTTTGACATGTCCCATAGCTTCTTTTAATGGATTTTACAGAAAATAGAATCGTTAAAAAAAAATGTTTTCCCATTAGCAAAATATATCAAAACACACATGTTTATAAAACGACTATTTAATGATTTAAGAAATCGATGTTATCAAAAAAACGAATCATTGTATCATGTTTTTCTAGATATAAAGAAAACTAGATTTTGTATTTCAGTTAGAGATAATAACTTTGAATAGTGCTTTTGCAGATTATTTAAATATATATGAACTCGGTGTATGGATCTATTATTTAAACAAACTCAAGCATCACTAGAGGGTATCTGCTTCTTCTACAGACATAGTCAGAGGACTGCGCTCCCTCTCTACAACTTTTCTTGATTACAAAAATGAACCATTCACAGCGAAATAATGAAGATAAATTATTTAATTAAGTTAATAAATTTACATATTGTTCTAAAAATATTTATTACAGAAGTTATTGTTTATTTTTATACGATTAAATGTTCTAACGAAAATTTTATTTCATGTTTGTTTTATAAATATAAAGAAATGATAGTTTATGTCTTGCATATAATCTTAATAAAATACTAATTTAAGAATGAAAAGAAAAGTTTTCTCTTTGTGGAAAAGAAACATGGGTTTTACTCGATGCTGAAGAGCATAAGTCAAAATACTTTCTTTTTTTTTCTACAAGAAAAAAAAGAATATAAAGAAGAAAATATTCAGTAAGAAACATATTTTAATAGAATCATAATGACTTCTAAGATTACAAATATTCTTCTTATTGGTGAAAAATATACACTCTATACAAATTATTTTATATTTTTTATTGGAATTATTGGAAATTTTCTTAATATTCTTGTTTTTACTGATTTAAAAATCTTTCAAAAAAATCAATGTATTTTATATTTTATAACCGAATCAATATCAAATATATGTCAATTAATTATATTTTTTCTTATATATTTATTAATATCCATATATACAATTGATCCAGCAAATTTAATACTTTTCTGGTGTAAATTTCGTGGTATGATGATTACAATATGTACATTAATATCATTTTCTGCAATATGTTGTTCTGCATTTGATCAATATCTTTCAACAAGTCCTCAATTTAATTTAAGAAAATTAAGTACGATTAAATTAACTGAAATTCTTATATTTACAGCTATGAGTATTTCATTATTACATAGCATTTCATTTTGTATTTTTTTGGAAATTCAAGATTCTTTCTGTCGTATTTTCGATTCAATTATGTCTCGATATTTATCTTATTTTTATTATCCAATTTTATCTGGAATTTTACCTATATTTATTGCATCATTATTTAGTATCTTAGCATATCGTAATGTTCGACGAATAGTTCAATTGCAAATGCCACTTGTTCGTCGACGACTTAATCAACAATTAACAGCAATGGTACTTGCTCGTATTATTGTATTTGTTTTTTTAACATTACCTTATGCTATTCAAAGAATGTATATATATCTTCCAAATGTTGAGAAAACGAATCATTCTCGACATGCAGTTGATAATCTAGTCGAAAGAATTATCAGTTCATTTTTCAATTTAAATTATGCAGTAAGATTTTATGAATTATAACTTCTCCTTTTTTTTTTTTGTTTGTTTGTTATATTAAATAATGTATTTTTGTTTAGGGATCTTTCTATATATTTATGGCATCTTCATGGCGATTTCGTCGTCAAACAAAAAATGTTTTATTAAAAAAATTTTGGCGACGATGGAAACGACGACCTTGTAATGATAATCAAATTTATCCAATTGGCTAGATATGATTAATTAATTCTAGTTTTGAACTAGAATAAAATAATCTTGACAATAAATTTTTTTTTTTTTATTCCATATTAGCTATTTGTTTGTAATGCATACTAAATAATTACTACGCATTTGAAAATATAATACGCAAAATATCTTCGATTTAAAAAGTGCGCAATTCAAAATGTCCTGAAATTTATAATTTTTTTTTCTTTGTATGCATGATAGAATTGAGAGAAATGAATTATCTATAGAAAGTGCCTCTCCACTTTTAAAAAGTAGGTTCTTCAAAAAATAAAAAAGAATCGTAAAATCTCGAAACTTGAATTTCATTACAGCAAAAAAAAAAATGTCAATTTTTTATGTAAACGTGAAAACAAAAAAGTATTTTTCATTCTTTGTAATTGTATTAATATGTACCGTACTTCATGACTCAACATTACCTAGGAAAAAGTAGTATTAAGATTATTTCCTCCTAGACAATTTTGAGTCATGATGTAAAAAAAAAATATTTACACAGATATAAAGCATGAAAAATAATTTCTAATTTCACGGTTGAATGAAAAATTAATATTTTCTCTTGTAATGAAGTATAAGATTCAAGATTGTAGGATTCTTTTTTTGTATTTTTTTTGATGAATCTATTTTTTTTAAATTTGAGAAGTACTTTCTACAGATAACTCAATTCTCTCGATCTAACTATGCGTAAAAAGAAAAGCGAACATTTCCGGATATTTTGAATTGTTTGTATTTTAATATCTTCTGAATGACAACACTTTTTAAATTGACATTCTTCTTTACTGTAAAGTTAAAGTCGCAGAATGTTGTTTTTTGATATAAAATTATTCGTACAATTTCTCTTTTGATCAAAGATAGTCAAAATATGAACATCTTAAGATTTGATTTACGTAAGAAAACGAAAGAAGTTAATGAAAAAAAAATTTTTCTAATATGCAATCAGTGATTTGAGAAAAAATCGGTCTTTGACTTATCACTTGTTTGCTTCAGAAATAATCAAATTTTATATCTAATAATATTTCTTGATTTTAGCTTTACAGTAAAAATGTTTGCAAATTAATAAATGCTATCGTTCAGAAGATATTATATCTTGAAATATAAAATAAATATTCTTTTTTTTTTTAATGGAACATATGTTACATTCCACAATAGAAGTTTTAAAACAACGCAGTACTGTCAAAAAAAAAAAGTACATTGACATCATTCATTCTTGACAATTTCTAAAACAATAATTATATTACAAAATAATGAATCATTCGAATCAATGTTATTTATAGCAACATATCATCCTTCTCGAAGTATTGAAAGATATCTTAATCATAACAAAAGTTATATGTATATCTTTTCTACATTGACAAATTAATACAAGAATAAAATAATATTGTGGGCTCTCCCACATATTATTTCTTCCATTGTCATCTATTACTAACCAGAATTAAAAGGAAAATGATAGAAACAATAAGATGACGTAGCATAATGACTAATATAGAAATCCAAACAAAAATGCCCACTGGAAATATAATCTATGAAAACTTTACAAATAGAGGTTTATTCGAAAGATGATATTGTACTGTCATGATGAGATAAGTATTGACGTATACATATGTACCGAAATTCCCATGTTTATTCCCGGTATTACTTTTAATTCTAGTGTCATTAGCAGAAGAAAAAGAGAAAAATATAAAGCTAAAGAGAATTTAAACTGAAGAGGACAGTCATTGAGTAATAAATCACTTGAATTACTCATTGTCTGATGCAATTTTATGTGATTTCTTTCTTTTTATTTTTATTTATCTATCTAACTAAATCGAATATTTTTGAGGAAAAAACAAGTTTGGCAAATGTAATATAATTAAAATTTTTGTTAGATATTGAATACAAAAAGTTTTCATTAGTATACCCATAATAAGAATACAACCTATCTTCATCTTCTATCAGTTCAAAGATGTAAGAGCATTCGGTCACTATACGGCTAGACACTCTGACCTCATGAATGATAATAGATACCGACTCACTCCTCTCTCCCTCCTCGTATATAAGCTTGTGTTTTATGTTATAACTAGAGTGATCGAGTAATGCAATGAACATCTATACCTAGGGTGGCGGTAACGTTACTCTTCCAGTTTGTCAATATTAATCATAATAAAATATACATTGCAATAGTAACGAAAGAGAATGTCATCACACTCATTTTTATTACAATTATTAATGGTTAAAGAAAAACATTCTAATTGACTAAAAGTACAGTTTCATTATTATTGATCATAATAGAAAACAAAATGAATAGCTGTTGAAGAATTTATTTCTTATTTCGTTTGTATTTTGTTTGTTAAAATAAGAATCGATATTTCAAAAAATGTTTAAAATTTTCGATATTTTGTTGCTTATGCTTTTGATTTCAACCATCTTTCGTAAAAAAAATATTGATTCTTGGTTTGTATAATCAAAATTGTGTTAATTATTTTCAATATGATTCATAAGAATTTATTGTACCCGAGTAAATATTTTTTTTGTAAGTCCTGGTTTATTAAATAAATAATAGTGAAAAAAAAAACTACTTAACCAAAGCATAATGTCGTGTCATGATGTAAGATACAACATTAAAGTACATTTAATATTCGTTTATGACTCAAGTATCACTTGACATACATTCATAAATATTATTAATAATAAAAACAAATTGAATAATAGCAAATATAAAAATAATGAAATTTGCATTTAATGAAATGTTTACTTAAGATTTGTTAAAATTACAATCTTTGTTTTTTTGATTCATTTGCTATTCAACATATATATATTTTTGTACACACGAGGTTTAGACACCAATGCATGTATTTGACGACTTAGAATAGTGAAAAATCAATTTCATTACTATTCCATTAGCAAAAATATAACGTCGTATCTGACATACATAAACACAGACATCGGATGAATTGAAAAGACAAAAAAAAAAAGAAATCTAACAACAAAAGAAAAAGAAAACATTTTACTGCATAGTTGATGTTATCATTTGTTCATAACGTGTTAATTGAGTAAGAAAACCTAAATTTGGATTAATTATTTGTCTTTTTTCTTTAACAAATGAATATGCTTGATCAAATGTTTTTGAATGATATTTCATTAAATAACCAATAGTAAATGATGGACTACGACTTATTCCACCTTGACAATGAATAAGAATATTTTCATTTAAAAATAATTTGTCTTTTATATATTCAAATGTTTTATCAAAATATTGAAGAATATTTTCTTGACCAGAATCATTACAAGGTAATTGATAATAATCAAATAATGTTTCATTTTTATAATAACATGGTATTGATTTTGATATATTAATTATTGATTTAATATTATTTTCTTTTAATAAATTTATATTTTGTGCATCATATGCATTACCAAGATAAAGACCGGGTAATACTTCAGACATCGTATAAGAATCAATATCTGTTGTTAAAATAGATGATGTATTATCATTATTAGAAATAGAATTTGTTGAACTAATATAACAAAATGTTGGATAATGTTGATAAAATTCTTCAAATGATGATTGAAGAATATAAATTGTTTTATTTGAATCATATTGTTTTAATTCATTTAATATACATTTAATAGATGATGAAATATCTTTTGTTATTGTTGAATTTGAACATGATGTTGATGATGGATGTATTGAATCATCATAAAGAATAATTATTTCAGATTGATTTAAACGATTTAATTGATTTTCATTAAGAAAATTTTTTAAACCACGACTCATTAAACGTTTTCGAGATAATTTATCATTAATATTTAATAAAAATGATTCTTTTATACGACGTTCATTATATCGCAATGGTAGACCACAATCAATTATTAATATTTTTTCATTTTGTATATTAATTACAGATGTCATATAAGCAGATAATTGAGCAGAAGTTATATAATTAGACGAATTTGTTTTGTCTTCTTGTTGATTTTCATTATTATTATCAATTACAGGCTTTGGTTCACAAACAAGCATTTTTTTGGTTGTTGTTGTTGTTGTTGTTAAAAGTCGAGGTATGATAGTCGATTGTGGATATGATATGTCATTTATGTAAGTAATATTTTTGCGATATTGATGACTAGTCGATTGTGGATGGAATATTTTGTTTTCGAAAGAAGAAAAGGAAGAAACGGATAGCACATGATGATTGTTGTTGTTGTTTGAGTCATTAACAGGCAATTCTATTGGTGGAAAAAGAATGTGTTAGATTATGCAATGCAAACTATGTATGTGTAAAGAATGAAAGAACACGGTAGAATAACGTTGACAACATAATATGAATATCATCATTCATTCTCTCCGTGTGATTCTTTACGACATAATTACCTTTTTTTTTTCTTTTATTAGCATAGCTTTCATCATTACTCAGTTGTTTAGTATAACAACAGTATTCGTTTTGTTCGCTTATAAGTCGTTTACGATCTTTCATGGACGAAATCATTGGATCATAAGTTACAGCACGAAGTAACTTTCGAGGAGATTCGATGGTTGACATTTCAGATAATATTTGTTTTGCAACACAAACTGCCATAAATTATTAAATAGTGATCTAAAAAAGCCGGAAATATTATAATTTATATATATATATATATATATGTATATATTGATAATAATTACGTAAACTCCTCCGCCTTTTTTCTTTTTGTTTCTTATGACAGAACACAAAAGCTTATTCACATTCGCGTCAGCAAACATTCACAACAAAAGAAAAAAATAGACAAATCATCAAATTTCTTGCTTATATATGGATGTTAGTAGTAAAGATCGAAAAAAATAGTCAATACACGATGTGTAATACGTCAGTGGGAAATTTGACTCATAAAAATATTTTACGGATTCTTATCTAGTAGTAAAAAAATAAAATAAAAAAAAAACTATACCTAACGTAATAAAATGAAACTGTGGATATTCCTTTTATTTTCATTTTTTTCTAACGTCATCATTTCATAACAATATGACAAAACTATATTC